GACAGTTTGATTCATTTAAAAAATACCAGTACTACAGCACTAGCTTGTAACATGGAAGTAAACGGAGCGATTGATAGTTCATTAGATGATGTGCTGATACATTGGTAGTGAGAATATCTATGATTTTGATTTCAGTTCGCAGATACGTGTTTTCTAAAAAATAATATTCACAAGGTTTTCTCGAGATCAAAAGTCTGAAAATAAAATAATATGAAACGTTGCCCAACGCTTAATTCTTCCCAACAATAGAATCAGATATTGACAAACCAATAGCAATATATGATAAAACATATCAATAAACTGTACACCTAAATATATTCCTAGAAGGTAAGTTTGTTTCAGAGTTTTGAAGAGAACAATTCATTGGATGCCAGTTATTCTTGTTAAGGGTAATCAGTGTATTTGGTAAAGGTCCCCTTACGGAATTAAATAGTGATCAAAACTAATACAATTGAGCCAGGTATAGAAGGCCCCAATATGACAAAAGTAAAAAACAAAAATACCGAACTTCAAGAAAATTTAAAACGGAAAGTCCTTAATCAAATGGCAAAATCAAAAGCTCAAACTCATCAAACGAACAGAAAACCACTGCATATACCTGTCTAGGATTAAACCTGGTTTTATAGCTAGCTAGACCTCACACTTGTATGACAGTCGTATAGAAATGCATTACAGTGTTAACTTGACTACCTTTCGGAATGTTTTTCCTCAATGTTCTTTCATTTCGTACTTTATTTGGCATTTTCTATATTTTTATTCGAGCGTCTCTTATGAGTCTTTTGTAGTCGAAACACGCTTCTTGCATACTATAATTTATGCCTTGTATCTATGATGAGGTTATTTAATTAGATCGAAAAAGTCATTATTTGCATCACTAATACCACCAATGAAAAAAAGGTCTGCGTTTTCTAAATAAAAAAAATATATGAGTTTTGACCATTTGGAACGCAAAATTTAACGTAGTTTATTCATAGTGAATTTGAATTTTGAGTAATCTATTAACTCACAGTCGATGTGGTCGTTGCAGTTACATGTACATGTACAACCTGCGAATTAAGTTGTACCCCTGATATGTCGTTTGATGCGGTACAATATATTTTGGAGAGAACAAAAATGAACACTCTGACGACCAAAATGATAATGCAATCAGGCGCGCAATTGTATGAAATAACACTTATCAATTTTCGGGCGTCCGAAGCGCTTTTGGTTTATCAACTTTCATCATAGGAATGCTCAAACACTAACATGTGAATGTCTGGGATATATAAATAAATAGAAACGTGAGGAGCGATATCACCAAACGGGACCTAAAAAAAAACCTCCAAATTCATCTAAGTTCAACTTTGGCTGAGGTAGTTTGAACCTTAGTTTCTTTATAATTCTTAATTTATCTACAGGGATTTTTTGAAATGTATGTTATAATTCATTTCAGTACCGAAGCACTCATTCCTGAGCTGTGATACTCGCGGAAGCTAACAGTTTACCAGCAGTGGTATCGACCAAGTGCTAGTAAATGAAGAAACTACTTAAAGTAGGCTTAATGCAACCAACTATTTTGTATATCTTTAAATTAAGCTTGATAAGGACTTGTGAATACCAAATGCAAAATAAGAAATAGGTTGCTGATAACAATATATTATTCCCTTTACATAATAGTAATCAATATTATTTCGTGTTCGGAGAGAACTAGGCTTACTTTGTCTTTGAAATTCTGCAAATACAGAAAATTAAGTAATTTTTAAGAAATACTGTAGAGATTTGTATATTGTGAACAGTGGGTTTCGGACATTACATTTACTTGGATGATTATAAGTAACTACACGACTTTCCGTTTTTAGATAATTGTCTTAGATTCCTGTTGATTTGTTTAAAATTCTTAATGAAGAAAGAAATAAACTATTAACAGGCTAGAGGGAATCGATTTCATCATGTTGTTTCTTTATATAGAATTCCTTTATGTTTTATTCATTTTGTTTTTGTTTTATATGGTGTTTTGATTCAGAGGGTTGATAATAACTTTGAATTAAATAAAATCTATTTGAAAAATGTACTAATTATTTGCAGAAAAGAGTTTTATTCTTGTCTGGTGCAGTCAAAATGGTACCGTTAATGTTATTTACACAACAAGAATGTTTTTTGCACTATGGGTATGGTAAATTAACCTATGGTGCAGTATCGTATTAGTATGAATTTTTGTTTGCAATTATCCACTGAGCACTTGCGCACCCTGAGTCTGGCTCGGCAAGCTATTTATCTAAAAACTTAGAAAGACTTTATTTTAGATACACTTTGATTACGTTTCACTAGCTCAGAAAGCATCTTGGATTTTGAACTTTAGAAAATAGATTACTCTAGCTGTATTTGACAAAACCTTTCGGGAATGTTTCGTCACTAATGCTCATCAACTTTGTACTTTATTTGATGGTTTTTTGTAGACGAAACGCGCGTCTGGCGTACAATCCTTTAAGCCTGGTATCTATGATGAGTTTACTTGAAGGTGGTCTTATTGCCCTGGGACAAAGAAATAATAACATAGTTTGCGGCTTATAATAAGACAAACATTAATATTCATTTAAAAAAACTGTATATAAAAGTCATTTTAACCATTTAAATTTAAACCGTGCAAGTCTTGAAATAAGCATATGATATATTATAATGTGTTTCTAATAGTTAAAACATGATTGGCGTTTTAAATGTGCACATATATTACTGGTCTGTTCTACGCGTTGCAAAGTTCACAAACAGAAAACATTGAACTAAAGCTATGCGTCATTGAACTATAGGCTACAACATTTTGTTTTGAAAATTACGGTTTGAAAATGATTTTTTGAACTGCTCATATGGTACATAAAACTGTTTCAGGTATCGTAAAAATTTGTGGACTCTGATTGCAATAAAGCAGATGTTTTGTTTTCTTCTCCAAATCATGTAAAGTCAAATTTAATTTTGGATTCATTTTATGTTGATAATAAATACTTAACTAAATAGTGGTACCAAATCTAGGTTCCGTATATTTACACAACAAGGAGAATGCAGGCAGATCGACAAAGGTCGTTTGGAATCAGTCAGTTCATTCACGTGTAAATATTTGAAATTTACGTTGTAATTACATGCAGCATCTTAATCACAAAACAATACCTCTCAGGCAAACATGTATAACATATGCATAGAATATTGTCAGAACATGCGGATACTAATTGAAGTATGACGTAAACAAATGTTATAATTTACATTTGGTCTTTGTTGTTTTTACACTTTATACTCGTACACTTTTCTTGGGAATGTTTCTTGTAGCAGTTTCACATCTTGTATTATTTGAGAGTTAACATTTGCTAACCTTGTTAACACTTTACAGTATCAATAAATGCAGATCTTAATCCTTCTCAACAGTTTGTTTTGTCCTACCAAAGACATGTAATACGTATTGTATTGTTTCTGATCCTACCACAACTTTTTGTGATACAATTATACATTTGAATATTTTTAGAAGTAGATGTGGGGATATAATTTAAGAGAAAAAGGGTATTATTTCATTAGCAGCAGATACTACATGTTTATGTTCCGGACCATATGAGTATATGGACCATACGTGTATGGTCGTGACCATAAGCTTATATACTCATATGGTCCGACCATAAGCGTATGGCCCGTTAATTAACACGATGAATGTTGAAAAGGTGTCACATAAATTAAGAGCCTCTAAAAATGAAATTTTTACTTATTCAATCATATTATAATCATTGTTAATGAGTAATGAAATAAAGTGAATTTTACATAAAAGTAAGAATTACTAGTATAGTAAACTCATTTTTTTACATGATCATTATAGATTTGTCCTTACATTTGTACGAAATTCAATATGTCGACTTATTAAAATAACTCTAAGAAATATCTAAATGAATTGTTGAACAAAAAGTGAATTGGCCATTAAATCCTCTTTCATTTCTGTTTTTAAATTTATTTTGGTGTTTTTATTAAATCAAAATATTTTAAATATTTCAAATGTTTTAAGTTAATCTGTTCTTGTTCCTATTTATACGATCTTACAATAACAGAAAAATCGTATGAATAGAGAATGAACGCAATAATTAAATGAAAATAGGTTGAGGTTAGGAGAAATTTCGTTTGTGAAAGGATAATTTAAACAATAAGAAAAAAAATCTATATGCCCAAGACGTCTGTGGTTTCACTTGCAGACGAAAAGGTCGACAAGATAAAACCTTTTAAATTGATTTTAGCGAAGGCAAGATAACAGATACACCAAGATTCAGACAATATGTAAAGATAAAGCAATTCAGTAAGTAACTTCTTTCGGTTTGGGATCGGAGAATGAGCTGTGTGCTCCTTCAAAGAAAGTTAAAATGTATTTGAAAAATATCTATATGGTCTTAATAATCGTATGGTCCGGCCCATTGATAACCAAACGAGTATAAAACTCATATGGTCGGACCATACGCGTATGGTCTGACCATATTAGTATACGCATATGATCATGACAATACGGGTATGGTCCAAATACTCATATGGTCCGGAACATTTATAGACATGTTCTAAGAAAGGAATCTCTTCAATTGTCTTTTGTGTGTGATGTTCCCCAATTGTTGATTGTGCTTGAATTTTGTCTGATGAAGTTTTTTCCACGTCCCTATTATTGATTTCGGTAAAGGCAAAACAAATTTCATTTTTAGAGGCTCTGAATTAGGATATATACTATATTTCGTGTATTTTGGGGTTTTAATCGTACAAAATTCAATAAAAAATCATTGAGTGAACATGATAATCCGAATTTACTCATTTTTTGCATGGTCATTGCGATATGACATGTTACAAATCAAGGAATTGCTGTATTTGTTTATATCTTTAAACAATTAGTTTTAACATCATATTACACTGAAGAATTTTGAACCTTTAGGAGCTAATAGTGTAATTGTTTTTATGTTATTTTTATAGTTTCTGCCATAAATTCCATAATTAAATAATATTTAACATTTTATTCTCAGTTATACTCTGAAGATGGAGAGGGAACCAATACAGCTGGAAGGTTCCGAGTAGAAACTGGTGAACATGATGGCGATGAGGTAAGATCATCGATTAAACGTGTCCTCTCGAAGATATTTAACAATATTAGAGAATAAAAACACTTTTAGCAGGAAATAGAGATTTACATTATATTTGTAATAAGGAAAGCATTGTATTAAGTCAGTACTGATCGGAATTAATTGGAGTAGAAATGCAAGCCACTAAGGACACAGAAAATACTTGTGAAACTGAAGGAAAGATTCTTTTAATCATGCTGACGAAAAAAACATACTACTTAACCACGACTGCATTCGTTCATATGTAACATTGTTCAAATCTATAAAATAGAGGCGAAAGATACAAACGGGATATTCAAACTCATAAGTCGAAAACTGACAACGACGTGGCAAGAAAAGTAAAACGATTAAAAGACAAATAGTTTACAAACAACCAACACAAAAAACTAAAGACTGAGCAACACGAATCCCTACCGAAACCGGGGTTGATCTTAGGTCCTTCGGCAGGGTATGATGATCCTGTAATAAGTATCTATACAATATGCCAAGGTATATTTGTTCCGACAAGTGTCTATACATTCATATGGCAAGGTCTGTTCCGACAAGTGTATATACAATATGTCAAAGTCTATTTGTCACGACAAGTGTCTATACAATATGTTAATGTCTATTTGTTCCGAAAATGTCTGTAACAATATGTCAAGGTCTATTTGTTCCGACAAGTGTCTGTAACAATATGTCAAGTCGTATTTTTTCGGACGAGTGTCTTCACAACATAGCAAGGTCTATTTGTTCGGATAAGTGTCTGTAACAAAATGTCAAGGTACATTTGTTCCAACAAGTGTCTGTAACAATATGTCAAGGTCTATTGTCATTCCGACAAGTATCTGTAACAATATGTCAAGGTCTATTTTTGTTTCGACAAGTGCCTGTAACAATATGTCAAGGTCTATTTGTTCAGACAAGTGTCTGTAACAATATGTCAAGGTCTATATTTGTTCCAACAAGTGTCTGTAACAATATGTCAAGGTCTATTTGTTCCGAATATAGAAAAGTAGAGAACAAATTTATCTGAGACTATCAAATATCTGCTATTATCTCCAAATTCCTCAAAATGACATCATGGTTTATATAATCAACATCAATAAACAACAGCATTTAATCATACAAATACAATTATATACCAATAATTATACAGATGTTTTATCTTAACTTAAAGTGCAGGAATCGGTTATTGGAGATACTTCTTCCTTTTTTTATGTAATGCGTTTGATCAATCTTTTATTTAACTATCTTGTAAACTATCAAATAATCTTTATACCTGAGAAGCTTGGAATATATTTATGAGAATGGTTAACAAAACCAGTTATCTTTAAAAGTAAACGTTCTTAACTTCGGTCTAACTTTGAAATTTTGTTCAATTGCCTGGTTTAACGTCACTTCCTAAATATTCATGCAATGCCATGATCATCATTAAATCTGAGGAATCTGGTATACACCAAGTAAAACATTTACATGAAAATTGTGCATATATTTTTTTATCAATTTTGACATCATGTGCTTCTATTAAAAATAAAGGATGGTCCATGAAAACAAATATTTGATTTGATAACTAATGATGTTTTGAATGGTCAAATCCCGTAAGAATAGACCTAATTGTTTTTTTTTTGTTAAATCTGGAAGGCTACGCTTTTAATAGTCCCAATGACATTCATCTTCTTGTTTCATCTATATTAATTGGTCTGCCTTAGGCTATCGTGCTTAATGTCTTTGAATGGTAGTGTTATGTGGGTGTTATGTTAAACAAAACATGTTTTGTGATCTTTTCAAGGATTTCATCAATGGTTTTGAGAAATTCTGGGGAAAAAACTATTGAATTAAGAAAAATACTGGAGAACAAAATATCACTATTCCTTCTTATATATGGAATGCCCAAGGTCATGCATAAATTGATGAGTTCAAGTCATTTTTAGTATGAATTAAGATGAGCTAGTTAACATGAGAAATATACTAGAAAGAGACCTGTGCGTTTAGTAGAAATAGGTGACAGACTTTTGAATTACAAAATGTAAATAACTCTACATTCATCTGTTGTAACTTAGTATCACGTTGCAATATATCTGTTTGGAAGAATTCGTATATATACTTAACTCTATGAATAGAACCATTGCAGTTTTCTTGATGAGAACGAAATTTACTGACCTAAAATTTTATTTACTCATTCGCTGCAATTTTTACATCATTGGATACACCTCTGCATCTTAGAATCTAGTATGAATATTTGTGACGTCACATAGTTTCAGAATATCCTACAATTTGGAGAATTCCAAATTCAAAGGCGCATACAAATTGAATTTGCAAGTAGACGCTAAGAAAATGTATGCCTGTAAGAAGAAGTTCCAAATGCGAGAACAACCTGTACAATGTAAACTGTGCGCCATGGTAGCCGAGGGGTCTAAGTAGTTCAACTACTGTACCACTAGTCTGTCGACACTGATGTTGTAAATTTGAACCCCGCACGTGGCAGGTGCGTTCGACTCCAATCTTAATTGACTTGGAGTGTCAGTTTTCCTGTTGAAGATCGCTGGTTCTCTCCGGACACTCCGGCCGTCTCCACCTATAAAAAATGGCCGCCACGAAATAGACAATAGTGTTGAAAGTGGCATTAAACACCAAAACTCCATCCATCATTTCATACAATTTAAAGTCATGTAAAACGCGCAGGTTTCTTTTATTTTTATAGACATTATTGTACCAATGCATGCATATATACTTTACTAAGTCAACACAAAGCACGTGGAGCACGTGACAAATAAGTGAATTGATAGAGCCTTGATATTCTTTTATATTTCCATACCTTTCCAGTTGTTAATTAAATTTTTCCTTCATTGGCCTTCAAAAGTAATGCACCTTTCAAAAATTGTCTCTCCAGCTAAATATTATTAAGCGTGGTTACAAGTAAACTTGTTTTGATGATACATACTTTCTAAACCCTCTGTTTCACTGTAACCCTTTATCCTCCATTACGGGTGGCTTTATCTGTGGACTAACTTCTATGAGATATTTGTCTTAATGGCATTTTCCAAATTTCATTCAACAAATTCAACAAAATTTTACAGCATGACAAAATCAACAAAATAAGTGCTTTGTTTTTAATATATTTCTTCCAAATCTGATATGTTAAAATTTGTTGTGGGAATTACACATGCATATGTATCGAAATATTCTTCACAATTCTTTATAAGGTATAAATGTGTTCATGACAATTTTCATAAAAAGATGTTAGATTCTATCATTTATAGTTTGATATATATGTATATGGGGTCTAAATCAACAACCCACGTAATGCATGAATGTCTCTTTCAAAAAAAAATAAAATCTTTAGATAATTCTAAAGCCATAAAGATAACGCAAAGATGTTTTGTTGTAACTTTCATCAGTTAACGACCGTCTAAATTTTAACATCAGAATATGTCTTTTCTTACGTTCACCAATATCCGCAGGAAATTTTAAAGACGACAAAATAACATTTACATGCAATAAAATGTCTTACATACATTATTTTATGATCAGCCAAATTTAGAAATTATTGTGATGTTTTATAAATGGGGAAAACGAGAGATGTTTACAATTTCATCATTTCCTTTAAATAGAAAATATCCTCAATAATGATTGAATTGACCTTTTCAAAACTCATCATTTGAAAACATTTGTTCAGTATTATTGCTTGTTTTGGTGTAGTTGATTTCCATTAAATTATAAAAAAGCGCGTCACGATGAAACCCGTCAAAGTTCTTCGATATGAAATGTCAAAATAATCTCAATTCGTAAACAGACTTGTGTCATAAATCGGCTACATGGAAGAAATTTAAAGTGGTGAGAAAAACATACATTGGCACTCATACCACATCTTCTTGTATCTATTTCATTATTTTCCATGTTTGAATTGCAGCTGAATATGACAAATTTCAGTTGTACGCCGTTTAAAAAATAGAAGCAGGTTTTGAATATCTTGATACGATTATCTGTACGATAAAGTCACATTTGTAAAACTTTTCCACGTAAAACACAATAAAAGATAATCGAAGGATAGTATGTGATTCACCCGTTATCGATAATATTATCTGCTTACCCTTCCGGAGCACCTGAGATCACCCCCAGTTTTTGGTGGGGTTCGTGTTGCTTAGTCTTTGGTTTTCTATGTTGTGTCATCTTTCTATTATTTGTCTGTTTGTCTTTTTATTTTTGGCCATGGCGTTGTCAGTTTGTTTTCGATCTATGAGTTTCACTGTCCCTCTGGTATCTTTCGTCCCTCTTTTATCAAAGAGTTTACCAAAAAAAAAAAAAAAAAAAAAAACTAACGTTAGGTATCGTCTTGATCTGATGTAAAGGTTCTAAGCTCCGATGCTTATCGATGACGATGTTAACGAAACAGTCACAATGAGGAACAGCAATAAATGATGTTCGTTTATAAAGTTGTGACTGCCCAGTAATGTTGGGATCATTGTCAAATGAACAACTTTCTCATAGGTTTCCTTTCCAAAAGGGAAGTAAAGCTACAAGTATGTAGAATAGAATCTATATACCTTGTTTTAAGGTTTCTATCTCACCGACGTAAACACAAAATCTCCTTTTATCAAATGTATACGACTGCCAGATAACACTCTGTATACTATGCTAGACCAGCAGAGTACCTAAGTTACAATGTCACAAGGAAAACTCAAATTATCATGGGATCAGCAGATCTTCTATACGAGAATGTACTCGATATAAAGGCATTTTGTAGAAATCTTGTTGATTTGGTGACATTTTTGTTGTTTTACCACGGTATATCTTGTGTCTCTACTAAGTATAAATGTTCACAGTGAAACCTTTAAAAAAATATACAGAATGGCGTTGTACCAGGAAGTTAATAATTATTTACGTAAAGGTACATTTTGATGTGATAACTGTATAAAGCATATCGATGTGTGGTAGTTAATTAGATCTTCATCACTTACAAGCAGTTGGCATGAACTGTGTAGGAACAAGTCAGTAGACAGTGATAATTAGTTTCATCTGCTTATGATAGTGTTCCAGTGAAAGACATATGGCCATTTCCTCCTATTTTTTATTTAGTTGAAGAAATAATTGTGTACCAGAAAAAAATATTCAACAATGTAATATATATCCATAAATCAAAACGTTATTCCGAACTGTACATTGCTCTTGAAGAAAAAATCAATTCACGAAAAACGCGTAGAAAAACTAATGCACAAAAATAGACGAATTGTATCGGAAAAACAATACCAATAGCTTATTTCCTTTAAAATGTTCTCATTTCGTCTCGTCAGTGGCTGTCTTAGTTTTATCTTCGTGTTGTTTCCTCTAGGGAATATGATGTTGATTACAGAATGTTGATGCATCTATATTATATATTTACTAATTGTCTATACTTAGGCCGATTTAAAGCTTGATATAATAGTATATACGCATGTCTATTTCTGTTATATAGATACAATGGATAAGCGTGGATTCTTGAAAAAGAAACCATGAGCCCGGAGGGCGAATGGTTTGTTTTTCATGAATCTACGCTTATCCATTGTATCTATAACTTAAACTATTGTGTTAATTTCTTTTCAAAATTAAAGCCTTTTCTTAATTAGAAGGTATTGTAAGTGAGTTTAAATAACCATGTTATCGTGTCCAACGATGCATTGATAAATCTCAGATCACAATTAATTGGTTAACAAAATACAAATATAACACTTCTACCTTAAAAGATCTTTATATTATCAGGCATCTGAATATTATCTGTTTTATCAAAATAAGACATTTTCGAACATATTTCTAATAAAATTGAGAATGGAAATGGGGAATGTGTCAAAGAGACAACAACCCGACCAAAAAGCATATATAAAGTATATATAATAAGTATGTTACCAAAATTTCTAGCACTCTAGGCACATCACGATTTTCTCGCATAGGAATTTGCGAACAAACATTTTTAAAATTATGCAGTAAAACAGATGAAATCATACTATATTTATACAACAAACATTGACAAATAGAATGTAATCATTTTTGTTTCAAACATGTGAAATAGCCAATAATAATCCAAAAAATAAACGGTAAAACTCGCTATTATTACAAAAATATCCACTATTACATGCAAAATTAGAAAAAAAAACAGAATTAGGACAACAGAGATAATACAGGGATTCGAACCTAAACCGACAAATCCCTATCGTTTAACTCGTTGATTTTAAGCATGCTAACCGCGCGGCTACCAACTTATACTATACGACTGCCCGTTGTGTATATATAAAGGTACAACCCCTGTGTGTCCGATGTTCATTTATATATATAAAATAGACATCTAAGTTGTAACCCATTGGTAGCCGAGAGGTTTCGTCGATGTGTTGATGTCAGTCATTCATAACAGATTTCAAGGAAGGGTTCGATTCCCAGTGAAGGCATATACAAATTACAAAAATTAAAGGTAAGTTTTTAAATTAATTCCATTAGTGAACAGAAATCAGTAAATTAGCCCTTCAAACTTAATGAAGTTAGACAAACAAAGGAAACAATTGAATATAATTTGGTGAGTCCATTTCAGCGGCAGATTTAGGAAGCGTTGATTCTAGAAAAAGAATCCACGGTAAATGAATAGGTTGACGTCACCACAATGGTTTAAGAATTCGATATATGTATTTGTGTTGTTGGGTTATTTTTTCATAGACGTTATAATCATCCATTTTTATTACTATCCTGATCAACGCTTTGAAAGATACTCAAATAAAATGACAAAATCTTCCAAAATTGTAGTTTTGAATTATTAAATTATCTATGTTTTCTGAAGGTACCAAGTCCTGTTAATAGTCCCATACATCTAGAGAATCCAGAATTTCAGACCAGATGGTACTTTAAATATTTTCTAGGAAAACGTAAGTAATCCTTTTTAATTTCATTTTCGTAATTCAATGGCTTCTGTCTGTTCGGAGATTAAAACTAAATATATCTTTTCAGAAAATAAGTTTATTAATAAGCTCATATCTTGATTAAAAATTGTAATAATCAGATTTGATGTCATACAAATATAAGGCCGTTTAATATTTCTACTTTTTGAAAACTGTCTGCTAAATTTGATCATTTATCAATATTTAAATGACTTTAAACGTTCCATTAACGTTTAATTGTATTCTTGCTACTTATCTGATACCATAATTGAAATATAGTTTTAAAGAAAATTTATGAAATCTTTCTGCGTATTTGGTTTTTTTTACAAAATTAATTCTAAGTTTGGAACATTTGTTTCTGTGGCGTTGGTTCCTCGCAGGTGATTGCATCGCAGTTGACAATCATCATTGATAATCAAAATCATATATTCATGCTTAGAGCTAATTTGAAAGATTATTTTCCTTCGGAATTCTCAATTTCCTTGACAGAAAATAAGATAACTATAGAAATTGATATTTCAGTTCACCAGAACTATGTGGGCACGGATATTGATCGGGAGCCTTTCCTTCTTTCTGTAGTGGTTACTGATGTTAATAATCATAATGTGCAGCAATATAGAGCTATTTTATGGTGCAAAAGTGTAAGTTTGTAGATACTAACAATAATGGTAATCTGAATTGCAAAGGGGGAAAGGTAGCTGAGTTTCGGAATGAAGACACTACATAAGGTTTTTGCAATGTTTGTTTTACATTGTAGGAGCAGACAAGTTACGGGTAAAACATGGTGTATACAAATGTGTTGTCAATAATGACAGTAGGAGAACATGAAGAAAAGAATAAACTGTATATGAAATATTGGACAGAATACATATTTCTGATATTTTTTATACAAACATAGATTTTTTTTAGTATTGATAGGGTTATGTCCTCATTTGATTTAATTTGTGAAATATTCAATGTAGAACTGAAGACTTGGAAAAAGCAGAACAGATTTTGTCTGTATATTTTCTATTCATTCCTACAGCTAAATATGGCCATATATGTTTGAAAACTTAGAAAAGTTCACTTATTCATTTTAATTGCTTTAAACTAATAGTGTGACTAATGTCTTGATTATGATAAAATTATAAGAAATAATGATATTTTATGTAAAAAAAAAATAAAATAAAAGAGGTGATTGTTTTTAACTCTTGAAAACAAGATTTGCCTTTTACAGTTTTTTTATTGAATTAACAAAAAATCTTACGAGAATTTTAGTCATGAACATTTTATCATAACTTAGGAACAATTTTAATCGTAAGACTTTTTGTGAAAAGAGTTGCATTTTACTTCTTTTTCATATTCAATTTCTCTCCTGTAAGCAAGTTAGATATAGCTTTTTTGATATTTATATAATGCTACACATACGTATGATGGCACACTGAATTTGACCATTTAAAATTTAAGTTAACCGGTTACATATCTTTAACAAGTGTTATGGTGCTTCCCTGAAAGGACCCAACGAACTATATCACTAAATTTTAAGTAGATCTTATGCCAAAAGTAAGGTTTCATATATCACAGAGAAAAGTTTGATGATGCAGCAATAAACAAGAGTCATGCGCAGTGGAATCGCTATCATACAATTATAATTACAGATAAATGGAATCGACAAAATCAATGCTGTCTTTTATATTGCAATATAAAAGTTGTAATATTCTTTAATAATACATGCTATATTTAAACAGGGTGCTAAGAAGATATGCTTGCCTTACAATCAAAGTAAACCTCAAACAGTTAAAGGTATTTTAAGGTGCGTATTGTCAGTAAATGCCAAGAGTATATAAAGAATAATGTTAAATGTGGAAGAAGAAAAAGGCAGGCAATATGTAACAGTAGTATAAGTAGGTCACTTGTAAATGGTGCAATCTGTTTAAGCTTGATACAAAAATTGTTATTTCTTACAAATGTAATAGTTTGATATTGTATTAGGCACCGTGCTGCGTATATATATAAAGTACATTTAGAATTCACAAAAACAATAAATAACCAATACATTATACATGTTCTTTAAAGATGATCATCCGAAATAAAAGAGGAGTAATAGGGACTTTTATTAGAAAAATGGTATGTGAGATAGAAAAATATATTTTGCTTTCAAGGTGTTGTAATTATACTAAGTTGTTGTAATATATAGTATCTTGCAGTTGCATTCATAACTTATTTCAAGTAAACATACTGAAAATATGAATTATCGAAACTTTGTCTCCTTCTAAAAAATAAACGTAATTTTATTTGGAGTAAACATAGATCAAACCTCCTTTTCATTTCAGCCATTTTAATCTTCATAAAACAGAAAGAGGACCAAAGGAAATTTTTGATCCTGAAATCCAGAAAGATTTACTTGTATTGGAGGAACAAGAGGTAAGTTTTATACTGCTTTATAACTAGACAGCAAACAGATCGTAAATTGGAAGAATTGATGTTTTTGTAACGCGAAGTATTACCAAGCCAATATATCAAGTTTTATTTAAGATATTTGTAGTTGTTTATATTTTGAGGTCGTAATGATTCATTGATACAATGTATGTTAGGCAAAAACTCTTCAATGCCAAATTTGTCGAGTTTTTTTCCTTTTTTCGGTGCAATCCATAAACCGATAAACAAAACACGACAACCGATGAAGTTTAGCAGTAATTGATTTAAAGACTAATTTACATGCGTTATCAGTATAAAATGTCATTTTGAACTCTTGCCTCTAAGAAAATTCAATTGAAAAACAAATTTGAGAAGGAAAATATAAACTAATATTTCAGCATCAGAGTTTCACGAGAAGTTAAAAATTACAATATAATAAAAAAGTCTAAAACGTTTTTACTGGTTCAGTTTCATAGTTGATGGTCAAAAAGGTCAAACTATTCCAGATAGTTAGGTTGACACACTTTTTATTTATCTTGCATGTCTTGTGACCCTCGTAAAGCCTTCAAATCAAAATCTATATAAACATATAAACAAAATTCTTTTCAGCGTGTTTATTTTGCATCATTATTTTTTGGACAACCAATTCTGATGCTATTTTCAGTATCTCTTTCTTTGGTACAACTGTTCTAACATCCGCAATTAAGTTCTGGGTTCATAATAGTAGAAATATTCTTGGTTTGTGAAGTGCGTTTCATTTCTCTAATCAACCTAGTAGGGATATCTTATTTTCCGATCAAATCTTTGCCAACAATTTTGCCATTTCATAAAGGGCTTTCCGTTCTGAATTCTTCTTGGAGTTCGGTATTTTTGTAATTTTACTTTTAACTGGACTTACTGAATTCAAATAAATTTGATAAAATAAAAAGTTTGAATTAGACCTAGGTTGTTTTTATAGATATTTTATTTTCATTAACTATTAAAAATTTTCATTAAAGATTCTAGCTTAGTATTATGTATGTCACTTTATTTAAACGATTCGGTGAATTTTAAGTTTGATGTGATATTTTTATTCAACAATTGGTTAAACTTAATTTAAGGTTCAGTAGAATATGTTTGTCTTTGAATAAAGGAATCGATGAATCAACAAAAGTTTGGTGCTATATATATTTTCAATTGTAGGATTTGCTGAACTTTAGGTTTAGTGTTATATATATTTTCAATTGTAGGATTTGCTGAACTTTAGGTTTTGTGTGATATATATTTTTAATTGTAAGGTTTGGTGAAGTTTAGGTTTTGTGTGATGTATATTTTTAATTGTAGGATTTGGTGAAGTTTAGGTTTTGTGTGATATATATTTTCAATTGTAAGGTTTGGTGAATTTTAGCTTTTGTGTCATAAATATTTTCAATTGTAGGGTTTGGTGAAGTTAAGGTTTTGTGTGATATACATTTTCAATTGTAGGATTTTGTGAACTTTAGGCTTTGTGTGATATATATATTATCAATTGTAGGGTTTGGTGAATTTTAGCTTTTGTGTCATACATATTTTAACTGTTGGGTGTGGCGAAATTTAAGTTTAGGTTTCGGTAAATTTTAAGTTTGGTGTGATATATACATTTTCTGTTGCACGGTTCGGTGAATTTTAAGTTTGGTGCGATATATAATTGTAGGGCTCGGTGAATTTTAAGTTTGGTGTGATATATTGTTTGGTTTGATGAATTTTAAGTTCGATGTGATATCTATTGTAGGGTTCGGTGAATTTTAAGTTTGGTGTGATATATGCCAAAGAAACCCAGTCATGTGATGATGAATTTTATAGCAACGGTAAGGACACGGATTTCTATACTTCTTAAATGTGTTATTTGTTAGTTTTGTGTTTTACACATGTGACATGCTGACAATGTGAAGTGGCTGTGTATTTATTCACTGTTGACTGAGTCGAAGTTAATGTCAAGACCGAGCATTGATGAATGTAATCAAAAGAATAATTATACCCCCGCTTTAAAAAAGTGGTGGTATACTGTTTTACCTCTGTCTGTCCGTCCGTCCGTCCGTTCAACCGTCCATCCGTCTGTCCGTCCGTCATCCGTCCATCCGTCAGTCCATCCATCCGTCCCATGAAGTTAATGAAAATAAACTCTCTGATAGACGACTTGAAACCATTTTTGCAAACAATAATCAGAGAATTATATAAATCATTTTCTAACAGACGAACAAACATTCTCCAGGAAAATTGACGGCTTGCAACATTGTTTAATTTGAGTAAATTGCGAAATCGACGTGCAAAACTTTGATTTGATGTTTTAAAATGATAACTGTTCCGCTTTTTCAAATATCAATACTTATAAACGTTAATCATATTGTTATGAATTATAAATGAATAAGTCTGTAAAATCTTTAAAAATGGCAGATTTGACAACGTGTTCTGGAAATGTCAAGCTAATTTCCTAGTCGTAATGATCTATTTTTAGAACACAACACGAAAGCCTTTCGAAATTTCCTTGAACTTATTGGTGCTACCATTGTTTTAAAAGGATGGGACAAATTTAAAGGAGGCCTTGATGTTAAAGGTAAGTATTCATTTTCGGTAATAATTGTGCATGTCACCATTTGGAAAAAACCTAGAGAAGTACCGAAGCGCTATGTTAAAAAATATTGAAAAGCCAACGGAAAACTTAAAGGGGCATTAGCTACGAGATATAAAAAAAAAAATCAAAAATGATTTTTCTTTTTGTTCAATCATTAATGACAGTGAAATAGTGAACTAATAATTCGCTTTTAGCAGTCCGTTTGTTTCAGTTTTTTTCAAAATAAGCAAAGAAACATCGCTAATGAATTATTCACTAGCAAGTGAATAATTCGACCTCATTGAAACGGTATTTATGTGAACTTCAATTGAACCCCATAGCTAGAGATGGGTTACGCATGAACTAGTCGTGTTCAGCTATTAAAAGGAAAAGAATGTCAACATTGGAATTGAAACAAGGGTAAACCATTTGGTTGACTAAATCGATCTACAAAAACTCATTTTTATACAGGTAAAAACGATTATTAACATATTTTTTATTCTATAATATGAAATCAAACAGACCTAGAAAAATCGAGTTCGCTATCTATTTATATCTATGTTTATGTTTATATCGAGTTATATGACCGTCGGCAGTTTTCGTAGGTCACCTCGATGGTTAATTCGATGGCGTCTAGACTAAAAAACACACGAAATGATGATACATACTATCGAGTCCATGCATCGTAAGTTGTTTATTTTAGACTTTTTATAATGCGGATATATGTTTAAATATTTAGTCTAATCGGTGAACATGAATTTAACAGTGTATGCCCCTTTAACACAATAAAACAAACACTGAATCAATTACGTAGACATGAGTACTGATATCGTCGAACTCTATAATTAAATGTATATGCCATATCAAACACCAATGAAAACTACACCAGTACGACAGATAATGTTGAATACATAATTTCTTTTTAAAGCTGTTGAACGCGAATGACCCATTTCATACAAATACCAGTTTAGGACAATAGCAAAATTCATAGCAAAATAAAAAGAAAATTTATCTGAACTTTCGATACATTCCCAATATCAACAAAACATGTAGCGCCCTATAATCTATACACACCATATCCGGGATCTATAGACATAAACGCAATATTGGATTCTGTGCCACTTAACCAAAGATTTTTCGATACTACCATACACACCTTTTTTGTTTGTTCTGTGACCTCAGAAATGATCTCTTCAGTCTTGTAAAGTAAATATTTGAAGAGAACGCCTGTTATATCTATGACGGGATTATTAGCGATAGAAGGCGCTGTTCTTGTTTATTCCAAGTCAGTTATTGTAGATATAAATATCTACCCATTGAATAATTTGACGTTAAACTTTAAAAAAAAATTTAAGATCTGATTTTAAAGTAATGTACCTTTATTCTACAGCTGATTCTACAGGTACGGAGTCTGTGTACACAGTTTATGAGGGACACGAAATAATGTTTCATGTATCTACAATGTTACCACATTCCAAGGAAAATAAACAACAGGTAAGATAGTGTACATGTGTCACATGTGACATACAAATTAAACAGGCGAAATAGACCCAAGGGATAATCAAACTCATAAGTCTAAAACGAACTGACAATGCCATGGCAAAAGCGAAAAACGACAAAATGCCACACAGCAGTATACAAAATTCAACATAGAAAACTATAGACTGAGCAGAAAAACCCACAAAAAAACCGAGGGTGATCTCAGGTGCTTCGGAAGGGTACGCAGACTACTTAAATATGCTTTCGGTCAAAACATTTCAAATTTGTCCAATCTAACGAAAGATGCATAAAGTTCTATTATTTCTGCATGATAAATTGGAATGTTCAACTTTAATTGGTTTGTCAAAGTTCTAGTTTAAGACACCGTGAATCTAATTACGAAAATTTTAAATACATGAGATTGCTTTTGCATTAATAGTATTTACAGGTTTCTATGAAACACTATTTACCAGTACCAGGTCTATAACTAGGTTATTGTTTTAGATTTAAGTATATCTAAAAATCTACCGAAATAAATAGCATGTGAGATATTCTTATTCTTATTGAGTTGCAAGATGAAAATAAACACTTTACCACATCCTGGATTCACATTCATGATGAAAGCTCAAACCTAAATATTTGAGAGTCGAGGATGTATAAATACGCTGCAACGTTAAGGGCTTAGTCTATATGACCAAAAAATACTTAAACATTTTTTTCCCCTGCTTCTACATCCCGAAAACACATTCCATTGTTATTCATAACAATAGAAATTGTTTTTTTTAAAAGCATGAACATAACAGATTACTAATAGTGTTCACTATAAGTTGTTTCGAGACATATTAAAAAAAAACATATTTCAGGAAATTCCAATAGCTAAAATAATATTTTGCATCTATTTTGAATAAAAAAAATCATTCAAATACTCCTTTGCTCGAAGCTAAAATTTTAATCCCATATGGCAATGTCCTAAAGAACATACATGTAAAGAACTTTTATTTGAATTATCATAACACATTAAAAACATATAGTTTTTATTCGGACTAAGTCTCAATCATTAAATAAATATTAATGTTTGGATTCATGCAGATTAATGATGGCACCCAGGGGCGGATCCAGCCATTTTTACAAGGGGTCCCAACCCAGGATAAATTAGGGGGATTCCAGTCCTATGTCTCCATTCTAAAGCATTGATCGTAAAAAAAGGGGGTTGAAACCTGTATTTTTGTATGTTAAGCGTGTCCGTCGTCGGGTTTCTAATCCAGACACACATATCCATCAGTATGTTCGAATATGAATGATTGTTTAGTGTTGAGAAGAAGGGGGGGGGGGGGACATTTTTTATAAAACTGTTACACGTAAAATACATTTATGATTAAAAGAGGGACGAAAGATACCAGAGGGACAGTCAAACTCATAGATCGAAAACAAACTGACAAAGCCATGGCCAAAAATAAAAAGACAAACAGACAAATAATAGTACAGATGACACAACATAGAAAACTAAAGACTAAGCAACACGAACCCCACCAAAAACTGGGGGTGATCTCAGGTGCTCCGGAAGGGTAAGCAGATCCTGCTCCACATGTGGCACCCGTCGTGTTGCTTATTGATCACCTTCATTAAGCTGATACATGTAAGTACTTTCGGTTATAAATATTGCCTTTATCTTTACTCTCTTTTACCAAACCCAACGCCTGACCCAAAATGTCGTCCGTCTCAGTATACCAGTCCATATTGACAACTGCATACAAAAGCATGATGTATATTTTTGGTAATAAGAATGCACGATACGGTCAACCTTGACCTGCTGGTCCATATTAGCACGTGGATTTAACAGGAATATGCAAAACGGCAACTTTGACATTTGTAAAATCTACTCACTTTTTTTCTTATTAATCATGGTTTGATATTGTAAATAAAAATGCTTTCCGTTCTTTTTCATCTAATATTCAATGTAAACAAATATATGGTTTAGCATCGGGTGTAAATTAGTTATATTCTTTGGGATACGGCCGTCGTGGTTTCTTCTCCAGACACACCTATCCCTCAGTGTATAACTATTACATATACTATCTAATCAAAATATTGTCAATTTCAAAGCTTTGACATTTTCGTCTAGAAAGACACAAGACAATATCTGAACTCAAAATACGAATTTATATTGTTAACATAGAACATTTCCACATTCAATGACTTTTTCTCACACATGTCTATAAAATCGATATAATTTGACTTGAAACGTACACACTCATATAGGCGAATTGAACAAAATACAGGAATGCATTAAAATTTTAATTCACGTGATTGACTTGTTTTTCTTTTCTATTTTAGGTTGAACGAAAACGTCATATTGGAAATGATATTGTAAATATTTTATTTTATGAATGTGATTCACCTCAAAAGTGTAATTTTAAACCTTCTATGATGAAAACTCGATTTACTCGTATCCTTACAAAACAATAATACATTTAAACAGTCTTAATTTGAAGCTGTCAGTATTTGTATATATTTGACTTGTGTAGCAATATATAGTGTGAATATTATATCAATTGTTATGTGTAGGCTTGAAAATGTAGGTCATGCAATTGGTCTCTTTGTGGAGAAATGTCTCATTAGCAATCATACCACATCTTCTTATTTTTTTAATTTACTTGTTCCTTCTTTTGATTGGAAAAGTAATTTATTAGCCCACTTGCAATATAAATCATAATCAGCTAATCATATTTTCGCAACAGGATTTTGTAATGTATATGGCAAAAACGAAATTGTTTAGAAAATGAATTTAATATTTCCTTAATGACAAATTCAGATATATTTGCTGTTGTATGCTTTTGTCAAGATGATTTGACATATAGGTAGGTCACCTAAAATACAAGAAAGACGGATTTAGTACAAATGACAGCTTAAATAGAACGATTATTTCCTTGGTCTCTCCCTTGTTGATATTAACTAATGAATGAATTATTATCTTTGATAAAGATAAGCTCTGGTTTGGAAGATTATGAAACAAAATCAAAGGAAAACCCCAAGGCATTTACATACTTCACAACTCCTTTGACCAGGAAAATTCTGCACTATTTTGATGAGGAAATTTCTGATCTCAAAGGGAGTGTGATAAGTTTTTCATATTACGAATGTCACTATTACTTCAAATTGTGTAACGATGAGCCAGCCTGAGTTTCGAAATAAACTGCCAGTTAAATAGTCCATATCGCTATTTAAGAATCAGGAACACTTGAAAGGAGAATTTGAACAATTGACGGAATACAACAGTCGCTTTTCCTGTGACTTTTTCTCTCGTGATGTCAAAATTTTACGGGAACGTCTTTGACGTCCAGTAATGACGGACAAATAGTAATAAGATTAATGTTGCGTCCATCAAAAATCTTGTGAAGACCTGCAAGTAAGCCAAGTATAAAGTATATCCTGCGTATCATGAATATTTTCTCTTGTTTCGTAGGGAGTACAAATACATTGTATGTTTTCTTACAATGTGCGAATATAAACTTTAATCTTGCAAAAATTACGCCTTAACGTATATATTTTTATAATCGTTTGATTTGTGTTTGACCGAAATCGACAAGACTAAAACGTGGACCGCAACAAGGACCCCAAATTGAATTTGACGAAAACAGTAATTTTGAAGATTCGAGCGAGCACCACTAATGAGTCTTGTGTGGACGGTAGACGAAACGGCCGTTTGACGTATAATATCTCTTTGATGAGTTTTTATGACTGATGATGCTGATTTAGTTCTTCATTATTTCACAACTTTGTCGATTCCTTGGGAAATTGTATTGCCAATTACGTATCTAGTTTTCAGCTTTGCAGTTAATATCTGAATGAGCAAAAAAAAAAAAAAAAAAAAAAAAAAATCGTTAAAGACGCCAATTGCTATTTGGTTTAATTAGATGACGAACTGGCATTTATGCACTTGTTTGTCTCCAAATAAACATCTTACAAACTTGACTAATTGGATGCTTTTAAGTTTTAAAAATACAACCCTAACGAAGTTTTGTCTTTACTTTCACAGCTCTTAAGTGATTAAGATAACATTGCTATGTCAAAGACACTTATCAGATAATGGCTTGTCTTGCTCTACAACTGTCATAGTTATATGGGTTTTTACAGCTTTTTTTAAAGTTCTAATTAGACCAACACGGTTTTGACGGAATCAATATTGCCTATGAGTGCTCATGTGTCAAACAGATGTATTTCTTGTTTTAAATTTAATTTGTTTCAGGTGCTTTAAGTTTAAAAAGAAAATATTGAACACCATTTCTTGGCGTTATATTTGCATTGCGTATGATATATACATAGTATCCCTGGTAAATTTTGTGGCTACAGTGGAAATGAGTTTTATTTTGTCTCATTTTCAGTGTTTATGTCAACGTCATGTACTAAGCTAACAATAAAGATATACTTATTATTAGACAAATCAAACTGATTTTTAATCGTCTTTAAACAGGTAAAAGGAATACAAAGTATAAGTGTTCCGTTCAAAGAACATACTTTTTGAAAGAAATAATATGTGTGGAATTTGAGACATAAAGGAAACGCAAACAATCCGAGAATTCATACATGTTTTAATATGAAAAGTTATTCTTTGGAAACTTTATTAAATTCACAAACCGGGGACAGTACAGTCAGTGACAGATATCTTAACGTATAGTAAAACAAAAAACAAAAAAATCAACATCACTATTAGTTGCAGACCCGTTTACAGTTTGGTCTGTCTTGTGTCTTTAACTGGAATATAACTGAATATAAAAGTCCTTCCTATACTAAGGAAATAATTTTGCATCACTGTAAGAGATATGCTTTCTTACCATTGGGTTTTCCCTCTTTATTATATAATTCATGTTTGATATCTTATTGCGTTTATGTGAATACATTCGACTTTTTTTTAGGATAACCGAACTTGCAATATTTTTATAATGAAATTGATATTTTCAGTCTTCAGTTCGTTATCTTTCTTTAATTTTCGTTACTTTTTGTTATGCTTTTTTAGCCAATCGCATATTTTTTATATCTTTCAACATATTTCCAGATTAAATGTATTATCAGAGGAATCTGTGCCCTTATTTGGTCCACCGCTGCCAACACCAGCTGTATTTTCTGATCATCAGGAATTCAGAGATTTTCTATTAGTTAAATGTAAGTGTTTTTCATACGAAGTAAATTAATGTAAGTATAAGTCACGATATTTCATTGTTTTTAATATGCCACATTCGCACAATATTGTTCTATTGTTATAATATATCAAAAATGTATTAACAAAAATACAGATCTCCAAGGTAAGTTTGAAAAGGGGAAGTCCGTAAAAACTGACACAATCAAGCGTTAGATTCAACAAACGGAACGAAAGAAAAACAGATTAAGAGAGATTGTTAATTTAAGAAAAAAGAGTTAACTGGATAACTGTGGACTTTATGTGTTGTTTCCATGAAATCAATACAAAGTATCTTAATATTTAGACACAGTGGGGGTTGATACATGTAAAAGCTTGCTATAAACTTTGTTCAAATTGATAAGTTTATTTACGTATTTTGCAATAAAAATCGTAAAACACTTATTAAGCCCATGAAAACTTAAATTAAATTGGTTATTTAGACGAGTTATCGTAGGAATATAAAGAGAAATCTTTATTGATTTAATACTGCAGTCGGATGTAAAACGGATATCAAAGTCTGATATTTAATTAGATGATAACTTACTTTCTGTTGTTTATATAATGAGAGTAGGGTTAGAATATTTTATTGTATTTGGTCATTGATGATGATTTTTCATAAATACATGACATAGACGAATCAAGTCATGAAGCTATTCAAATAAAGATGATTTTATTTATTTTCAGTAATCAATTAATCATCCGATACATTGTTATTAGGAGGTGATTGACAGTCAGAAAAACAGAACAAACTAGATAACTTTTTTGACAAAACATTATTACAAAATACGAAAAACAGGATCTTGTGAGGTTACTTGAATGAGACAGTAACTACACAACACAAGACAAACAAAAAAAAAAAACACAAAACAATACGAAAAACAAAAAGCATCTTTAATTTGGCATATCCAAATACTATTCATATTATTAGAATTAAGAATGGAAACGGGGAATGTGTCAAAGAGATAACAACCAGACCAAAGAGCAGAAAACAGCATAAGACCACAAATGGGTCTTCAACGCAGAGAGAAAATCCTGCACCCGGAGGCGGGCTTCAGCTAGCCCGGGTCCCTATTGTTTGGATATTTTCCTAAATGTCCAAAAGAAAATGTATTGTGCACGAAAGCATTTACAATTAAGTATTTTACTTTGACAATTATCCAGCAATATTCCGTTTGATCAAATACCCTACTTCTAATCCAGGAAAGCACTTCGGATACATTAAAGTGGTAGGTTCGATAAGACCCTAAAATGGCCACTATTTGTAGCTGAAATTTCAAATTCGGATTTATTGAATAATATTCGATGAATCATTGTTAAAACATTGACTAGGTAGGAAATATATCATTTTACATATCTTGTTTGATTATTTAGTTTGTCGAAGCCAGCGTTCTATGTTTCTTATGCCTAAATTTAGTAAAAGTCCAGGCGATTATGTCAGTTTTCATCAAAACCTCTTTTTTTGGTCTATTTGAGTTGTAAATATTCAGGCTTTACAAGAAAAGCTATACGAACAAGTTTTATTTCACTTTCTCACGTGTCTTTTCATCAACTTGAAACATTTTTTTATCTTCAAACGTTGGATTTAATATTCGGGGCCAAACATGACCCTTACCTAACTTACCTCTTTGTAACGTGTTGTTGTCATTTTTTCAATTATCTATTTTGTGTATTATCGAAATAGACATTTAGAAAGAAGTTTGAAAACGATAAATGTCTAGCAGGTCTATTTGAAATGATATGTTTTTATTTCAGAAAAAAAATAGGTTTCAAATGTTTACCTACATTTTGTAATTTAAGGGTAGTATGTTGCTTTGGCCGTACCTTGACCTATAATGGTTTACTTTTATAAATTGTAACTTGGATGGAGAGTTGTCTCATTGGCACTCATACCACATCTTCCTATATCTATTGAATTTGCTTTACTAGTAATTGGTACATATACATTTATTGTTTCTTAGTTCAGTCAAATTAATTTGTGTTAAAAAGATAACGATACCAAACACAACAAATTATTCCCTCTCTTTGTTACTTTACGTTAGTTTCCTTTGTATATTACGTTTATCTGCATTAATCTAAGGAAAACTTGTTTGAAAAAAAAGAATATCCGGGTGCACGAAATAAGAACACAACAGCACAAAAAGCCAAAGGAAATCTAGAGGTCAACATATTAGGTTCTAAGGAAGGGTAACATCTACTGTAGGATAATTGTAAAGTTTACAGCTCAGTAAAAAAAAAATGACATGAAAAATGTTGAAAGTTATCTATTTTAGATGGTTAATACTTTATTCTCTTTTCTGTTTAAGTGATACGATAAACAAAACTGAACATATTTATGTTTATGTGGTAAACACATCACGTTCTTCTTAATTAGCTTGGCTAGCTATAAAACCAGGTTTAATCCACCATTTTCTACATAAGGAAATGTCGGTACCAAGTCAATAATATAACAGTTGTTTCCCATTCGTTTGATGTGTTTTAGCTTTTAATTTTGCTATTTAATGGGGGACTTTCCGTTTTGAATTTTTCTTCGGGTTTGTGTTTTTTGTTATTTTACTTTTTAGTTATATACGTTGATGAGATTTAAAAAAATGTAATGAATAAAAAAACAACACCATACATGTCTTACGTCCGAAGCACTTTTCTGTATTTACCTTCTCTAGGAACGCTCAATGCCGATTTTTTTGTAAGCCAAGGATGTATACAAAACAATTGAAGAGCTATATGACCAAAACGGACCTGTAACTGTTTCAGCTTTGAAGAATTTTCACATTTCTAATATCTTTTTGTTTTAGTGATAAATGGTGAAAAAGCAGCAGTAAATAACCCACTTTTCACACAAAAACGAGAAAGAACGTTAGACATGCTTATTAAAAACTTACACCAAGAATATATGTCAGAAATCAACAAGGTAAATACTATAATTCTATGTAGAAAATCAGCAAATTGGCAGACTAAAGGTAAATACTATAATTCTATGTAGAAAATCAGCAAATTGGCAGACTAAAGGTAAATACTATAATTCTATGTAGAAAATCAGCAAATTGGCAGACTGGTTATTATTTTACTTATATTCATAAAATATAATATGTTGTGTAACCGACAGGAAAATTTTTCACATTGCTAAAGTTAGCAGGTTTAACGTAAAATGTTTGCCTTTCTTTTATACTAAGTCATAATAAAACAAACACCAAAATCTTCACAATTAAGGTAAAATAAGGTAGTCTTTTCAAGTCAAAACGCATTGTTATAATTTCTGTGTCACATATGACCATGGATATGATCTATTGTAGTATCAAAAATATTGGCTTCTTTTTCATCGACTACGATGTCATCGAATACTACGTGTCACCGAAGTTTGTTTGACATGAGCAACACAACAGGTGCCACTACTGGAGTTGAAACTTATCCCTACCACCCCCCCCCCTCCGGATTTGATTGGGTTTGTAGTGTTGTAGTATTTTAGTTATCTGTGGCTGTTGATGTTTTTCTTTAGAAATGGTGTTGTTCTGTGTAGTGCTTTTATGAACTGTGGCTGTGGATGTTTTTCTTTAGGAATGATGTTGTCTGTTTTCTTTATGAATGGTGTTGTCTGTTTTCTTAAGGAATGGTGTTTGTCAGTTCTCTGTAGGAATGGTGTTGTCTGTTTTCTTTAGGAATGGTGTTGTCTGTTTTCTTAAGGAATGGTGTTGTCTGTTTTCTTTAGGAATGGTGTTTTTAAGATCTCTTTAGGAATGGTGTTGTCTGTTTTCTTGAGGAATGCTGTTGTCTGTTTTCTTTAGGAATGGTGTTTGTCTGTTTTCTTTAAGAATGGTGTTGTTCTGTGTAGTGTTTTTTGAACTGTGGTTTTTGATGTTGTTCTTTAGGAATGGTGTTGTCTGTTTTCTTTAGGAATTGTATTGACTGTTTTCTTTATGAATGGTGTTTGTCTGTTTTCTTTAGGAATGGTGTTGTCTGTTTTCTTTAGGATTGGTGTTATTATTCTGTTTTCTTTAGGAATGGCATTGTTCTGTGTGGTGTTTTTGTTAACTGTGGTTTTTGATGTTGTTCTTTAGGAATGGTGTTGTCTGTTTTCTTTAGTAATGGTGTTGTCTGTTTTCTTTAGGAATGATGTTTGTCTGTTTTCTTTAGGAATGATGTTTGTCTGTTTTCTCTAGTACTGTTTTCTTTAGGAATGGTGTTTCTGTTTTCTTAAGGAATGGTGTTTGTCAGTTCTCTGTAGGAATGGTGTTGTCTGTTTTCTTTAGGAATGGTGTTGTCTGTTTTCTTAAGGAATGGTGTTGTCTGTTTTCTTGTTGGTGACCTTCTGCTGTTGTCTGTACTATGGTCGGGTTGTTGTCTCTTTGACACATTCCCCATTTCCATTCTCAATTTTATTTGTCTGTTTTCTTTTGTACTGTTTTCTTTAGGAATGGTGTTTGTCTGTTTTCTTTAGGAATGATGTTTGTCTGTTTTCTTTAGTACTGTTTTCTTTAGGAATGATGTTTGTCTGTTTTCTTTAGTACTGTTTTCTTTATGAATGGTGTTTGTCTGTTTTCTATGAATTATGGTACTTGATTGCCTCCTGGTATATTCTCTATTTTCTAAATTAATCTCAAAGAAATGATTATCAGGACTAGACGTTAAGTATTCATCGTCATTTTGTAATTCAAGCGTAAAATTCTTGCTGGTAGTAAAACATAGGTTTGCCAATTTTATCCATTGAAATTATATATCATCAAGGAGAAAATAATTGTTCTTCAAGGACATTTGTATTAAATGGAGATATTTAAGTCTTAAGGCAATAGTCTAAAAGCTTGAATTTACAGGGATTAGTAAGAAGTTAGTAAAGTGACAAAAACAGCCAGTAATTTTTATCATGTTTGGAATATTATCATTAATAGGTGAAGTCTTAAATTCGTTAACAACTATCATTTTGTATATGGCATTTGTAAGTTGAAAACTGGTAAAAATAGTAATAATTCACACTTCTTTGACAGCAGAAAATATTACAAGAAGTGAAAGTCAACGCAAAGTTGAACTATGACTAAACGCCAAGACTTCGAATTGAATTGAAGATAGGCTGTAATGAGTCAACATATCTCTACGGGACCGATTATAACATCTACATAACACAACATTCAAAAACACAAACAATCAACCCCTGATGTCTTTGAACTAGTAAAGTAAAATGTGATGAACATATTTGTTCGACAAGCAAACGGACGGACAAGATTATTGTAATACCGGTATTTTCGCATCTCCTAAACATAATACAACAATCAACAGAAATGCATTGTAAAATTGTAAAGAATAGTTCAGAATGATTTACTTATCAGATCGGCTTTTACCAAACAAATCACCAAGTAAAAAGAAAACAAAATCACACGGTACCGATCCAAGAGTACTCGCAGTTGTTGAACACTAGTTTAAAGCCATTTTCAACTAATAATTGAACCAATTTTTTCCAGACTATAATGTTGATCAGTACACATATAGCAAGTTTTATGAAAAGACGTGATAAATAGGTTGAAAAAAGCATGACATTGTGCAATGCCAAAATAGTAAATGATGACCATAATTGTTTATCACTGTTTATTTTAAAATGAGGTCTTTCCACTTTTCTGTAAAAAGACCTTTAGATTTTGTTCTGATTATCATTATTAGATCTTTCCAATAAACCGAAAGTAGCCATTTTTGCCCTTTTGAAAAGTACATAGAAATCATATCTTTTTTAAATAGGCACATATTAACTTATCTTTTTAGACCGAATGTGACCTTAAAAAAACCGGAAGTAGCTAATTATCTCCCTTATTATAGGCAAAAGTATATAGAAACCATGTATTTTTGGACATCATCAGTGTATATACAGCTATCATATGAGACCGGAAGTGTTATTTTTTAAACCGGAAGTTGCAAATTATCTCCTTTTTCATGCAAAAGTATATAAAAACCATATATTTTTGGAATCTGTGTGAATAAAACTATCATATAAGACCGGAAGTGGAATTTTCTAAACCGGAAGTAGCAAATTATCCACTTTATATCAGACAAAAGTATATAGAAAACATATACTTTTCAATCAGCATGCAGAAACATATCATTGGACGTCTATAGTAACTTTTAGTAAACCGGAAGTAGCTTCTTATCAATAACTTAGAAAATTGATGTGGAAAGATCTTAAATTATTCTCTGAACAATTGGTTTTTAATTCATATCTAATTATGTTAAATTCATTAACAGCAAAACAAATGTTAGTTCCAATGCAGACAATACTAATGTGAACATAAACCATTCACTAAGAATATATTTGAGTTGTTTCCCTGAAAAAAAAAACATCGTGATCCAAATTATTTGTAAGCTTTTGATATTTTTCTCATCCCTTTCAATGGTAAACATCTTTACTGTTTTGTGTTTTAATGTTTTGGTATTCAATTTTTATGTTTTTCGTCATTCTACCTCTGACAATTTCTTTTATTTTGTAACCACTTGACAACATATATTTAATTATATTTTAGAACAATCTGCTGTATCGTCGTGCATTTAGTGACGTCATACAAGATGTTCAAAGTTCACGGAAAGAAGAAGCCAGGCGATCAGAGTTTGTTCGTGTAGGTCAGGTAAGTAGTAGTAAATATACTGTATTTATTTGCATAGTTAAAGTTCATCTATCAAACTTATGAATTATTTTTTGAAAATGTCACTTACATTTATATACAATTGTTCTTATCAAAAGATTGATTTCTCTTGATCTAAATATATTGTATATTTTAGAAGTTCGAAATTAAAACAGCCATCAATAGAAAATAAATCTATGAAACATTTCGATTTCAATTCAATCCAAATTGTTCAATCCAAAATTAACGAGACAGGGTAAGCGTGTTCAGCTTTGCATGCATCATCCGCCAGTCCAATCAACATTCAGTTAAAAAGTTACAATCGGGAGACGACTAGACGACTTTTCTGGATTCTAAAGATCTAAGACTGCGAAAACATGTCGCTAGTGAGTTGAGACACAGACATATATTTAACCAGATGAAATATTAATACGTTGTCTTTCACCACATTTCCGATATTTAGACGCGATAATTATTAGCGAGAGCCTTTGAGATCTTGCAATTTTGAATGACATATTTAATAAATCAATAAATAAAATGAATTGAGGTCAGTAGCAAATGTACATCATTATGTACAAGCATTAAGGTAACGCCGTGAGACATGCATTTTCTAAGGTTGTTTATAAATATTTTTAACCAAACTTTTACAGACTTTAAAGCTGAAAACCATTATAAAAGGTGATGCTCCAACAAGCTTAGTCACAACAGGCATATTGAAAAGAGAGGTTAGTATTACTCTAAATGTTATAGGTTATAAAACCATTATAAAAGGTGATGCTCCAATAAGCTTAGTCACCACTGACATATTGAAAAGAGAGGTTAGTATTACTCTAAATGTTATAGGTTATAAAACCATTATAAAAGGTGATGCTTCAATAAGCTTAGTCACCACTGACATATTGAAAAGAGAGGTTAGTATAACTCTAGATGTTATAGGTTATAATTAAAATACAATGCCAATTTCTTGATATATGATAATAAAAGATTTGTAGATCGTAGTTGATTTTATATATTATATTTTCAGTATGAAATATTATATAAAATATCCTATCGCCCACTCTTATTTAATTTTTCATCAATACAGTTTCAGTTACAAAATAAAACAAAACATTTGTCATCGGCATGAGCTTGAATATCCCTTTAGTATCTTCCGCCTCTGTTATGCACTTTTTTGTTATGGTGGATCAGATATCAATATATGAAATGCGTATTCACTAGAAAGCAAGCACTTAGAGCTGTGTGCAGTTTAAAAGCAACACAATCATTAAGTGTTGAAATGAGAGCCTTTTAAAATAACAAAAATCTTTAAAAAAAAATACCCAGTAGGCGTGTAGTGATTATACCAGAAACCAATATGATGAAATCAATAAAAGCGTTGTACGTGCGTCAACATATAACTTATCGTAATTTAAAAAGAATACGTTTGTTCAATGTTAGTATTGTTCCAAATTGTGTTAATTTAAGAAAACTTTTATAAAGTTTAAAAATACATTATCTTTATATAGATGGCAACAGCCGCCATAGTCATAATAATACTGTATATCGTTTACCTACCTTTCAGCCATGGGAACCTCAGGAATGTTTCAGTGAAATAAAAAATCAAATTATATGTGGAGATTCATGGGGTAAGTGTACATGTCATTTCAGTAATTTTTTTAGAAATGCAAACAACACCTCATAAATTTTATGTGTCAGAAGCGCTTTTCTGGGTTTACCTTCACCAGGAACGCTCAAAGAAAATTATTTGGTCGGGTTGTTGTCTTGACACATTCCCCTTTTCAATTCTCAATTTTATATAATCTATAACACACACTCATGGTTGTCACTATTTTTTTTCACGAATTTAGCTGAAAATCATTTTCGTTAATTTTACGCTTTCATTGAGGGTGGGTTCAAGTCAGAAAAAGTGGGGTATTCCCTGTTTTCAGGGTACACCCCAGTTTTCTGGTGTTAAAAAACCCCAGTATACAGGGACCTCTTTTTTCCTTTTCAATTTATGGTATGAAATCTACAAAAGCGCACTTTCTACATGTGATAATAATGTTTAATGATAGCAAGTGTTTTTATAAGTTCAAAAATCAAGCCAATTTCAAGTCTAATTTGATGCTCAACTCACAACAAAACAATTCCTTTGTTTACCGATTCATACCTTGATCATCAATTATGAGATGACAAAAAGATAAGTTAATCACTTGGGCATCTAAATTCAATGAATAGAAATTTTCAATAGAAGTGAATATAATTCAGTTATGGTCAGTTACATCTGGAGTATGCAGCTTGGTCAATTGACTCCTAAATAAAAGATTTGTATGTTTTTGAGTTTTAGAAAAAGCAAGGCTTCAATTATTCATGTTTTGTTGTTCCTGAAATACTTTAAGTATTTACAAATACTACTGATGCAGTGAAAACGTGCGCTTTTGTAGATTTCATGCCATAAATTGAAATAGAAAAGGGAAGTCCCTGTAAACTGGGGTTTTCTAACACCAGAAAAGTGGGGTGTTCCCTGAAAACAGGGAATATCCCACTTTTCCTGACTTGTGCCCAACCTGTTCAAATGAAAATTTTTTGGGTCGTGAATCACTTTTGTGCTGGGATCATTTGCAGACGATGTAAAATATCCAGCAAATAATCTCCAATTAATGAAGGATCGCTTGAAACTTAAAGAAGAAATACTTACATTACAATATATTTCCTTAAATACAAAATATTACGCATATTTCCTGGTCAATTTCTAGTGTGAGACAAGTGTGAAACTGCTTCATAAGCTACTAAAATGAAGATCGTGTTTTACTATTTTCGATCTTCGTTTCAGTATTCATGAAAAGCAGCCCACGTGTTCGATTATTATGAATTATCTTGTTATTGTCTCCTCTAACCGGCAAGAACATGCCATTTTCCACAAAACGGAAGTGCATTTACAACAATGAAAATTGCAATAATAAATTTTATAAAATTTTAAAATTAACAGTTTTCAATTACAACACTCTTTGGTTATATATTCAAATAAAATAGTTGTTTATAACAATCAAAATTAATTGTTATTGCCAATTACGACAAAAGGTATGCCTTACAATATCATTGCGCAACATCCTGCGCAGTAGGCGCGAAAATTTGAACCCGCGAGCCCCCTTAATATCATACAACTGTCAAATTCAAGGGAATATTTTTTTTTCGACCCTTTTTCGTATGAAAACGTATGTGACGTACTATGATTTGGTGGTATTACACCTATAGAAAATTGCATTATTAGAGCTTTCACGTGTACAATTATTGACAGATATTTATAAAATTTATCTCAAAGGTTTATATCGTCTATGTCTCAGACATGTTCGAAAATCAGTGTCAAACACCTATTTTTTAAAGAGTTATGACCCTTGAATTATTAATTATAGACTATTGCATTGTAAGTCAAATATTGCATTTGATTAAGCCTATATTTCTCTTCGAAATGTATGAAAAAACGCATTTGAATAACAAAACAAGTTTTGTTTTAGTTATTGCCCCTGGAAAGATAACAAACGTGCAACTCTGGGGACATTGAAACTGTGATCTTTTAATTTCCTTTTATATCAGTCAATGTATTGTATATATATCCGTAATATTGAGAATATTTTCTTGATGTGACGTTGTCTAACTGTTATCTGATGAAAAAAGTGTTAACAAAAATTGTGGACCACGACACGAACTGTTCTTGAAGGGAGACAATGAAATGTAGTCTCAACTAACTTTTTTATCCTGAAGTAATTAAATTGTGACGAATCCTTTTGGTACGGGAAGTAACTCTTGATATGTTTTTCATAGAAAAACATTGTTATTAAAGAATAAATTAAGGCGACAATCGTTTACCGATGATAAACTCTCGTAAATTGATTAGGAAGAGACAGATCAAGGTAACATACAAAAATGTAGGGAATCGCATGAACTCCAAAAGGAGCGAGACCAGGTGCGTCGACAGGGTAAACCTCTCCTGTGTTGCATGCATCTCCCTCTATTCGAATTCACCTTTAGTCAAAATCCCACAATCAAAAATAGGACACAATCGATAATCAGACGACAAACGGAACTATAAACAACTGTCATACAAGTGGAAGGTTCAGCTACCTATAAATCCAGGTTTAACCTACCATTTTCGTCGAAAAATGTCTGTACCAAGTCGGGAATATTGCAGTTGTTTTTCACTTGTTCCGTTGACTGATAGCGTTTAATTTTGTCAGTTTTTACGGACTTCTCACTTTTTGAATAAGCCATGAAGTTCAGTATTTTTGTTATACTTTTTTGGTATTAAAATATCTGATTCAAATTGTGGCACGGGAACGCATGAAAGGAAAAATTTAAGAAAGGTTTGAAACATTTACATAATACTTATGTAAAGACTTTACTCTTTATTTTAGGGGATAAATTATTAATAGTGACAGATACTGGTGTGCTTCTGTTGGAAGGTCAGTATAGTGTTGTTTTAGTACTAGTTTATTACTAGATCTTTTGTTGTCGGATTTCGAATTTGCATCTTCACTGAATAATACAATAATATATGTTTTTAAAGTAAGTCAGTCTGAATACAAATAAATGAAAGGAGGTGTGAAGAAAACGTAACAAATAAGACACCAACACAGAGACACACAAAACCAAATGTTGATTGGACAAGCAACTTATATATGTTCATCATATTATTAAAATGTCCAATAGTCCTCAGACAAAAGCCCTACACCCCTACATCAACACAATCATAGCCACAAAGTAGACAATCTAGAATGCATGCCTACAGTATTATAACATACGGCGGGTGGAGATTAGAAGTTCGAGCAAATGAAAGCCGGCAATGCCAAGTTACATTATCCTTAATTACTTAAAGTCAGCTAAAGACTGCATATGAAATAGTTGGACCGAAGCTGGCACAAGAACCTTAAGTTCTTAAAATACATGTAATTGTCAGACAAATCTTTAGATGATTGGAATTATCCGCTTTAAACTAGATCTTTTTTATCATGCTAATGACAATAATTATTTTATATTTATTTGGGAACAATGTGATACAATACTATTTCTGAATATTGTTTTGCAGACGGAGTGCAGCCACGTCTATTGTTTGATAAATCAGTATCTGTGAAACAGTTAGACGTGGTAGAAGAACTCGAACTTGTATTATTAAGAACAGATAAAGGTAAGAACATATACACTCGTCATTGCGGCAGGTGTTTTGTTTAATATATATCTATTCTAAAGATATAGAAAAAAAAACTATAACACACATCAATCAGATGATCAGTAAAATGCGTGTAAAGGGGCATCCGTGGCCTAGTGGTCTTAGTAGTTCATGTACAATAATAACTAGCAAATCAACACTGAAGTTTGAACCCAGCTCGTGGCAGACGCCTATCTTAATTGAAGATTGTCAGTTTTCCTGCCAAGGTCGGTGGTTCTCTCGAGAATACCGGCCTCCTCCGACAATGTTCATATACTTAGTATTGGTTTTTATTCTGCAATCTAACCATTACGCTTTTTTATTTTTTTATCGGTTTAGAATTAGCTTCTCTTATAGAATAACAAGGTACCACATGATATTCTTTATTCTTTAGTAAAAATTTCCATCGGTCTTTAATAGAAAAAAAACGGAGCAGAAAACCGGTCGTTAACGGACTATTACATGTTAATGATCAGTGGGGCGTGGTTTCTCTGTTTAGAGTGATATCCAGTTAATAAAACGCAATCGCGATTCAGACGTTTGAAACATGGCTGAACTGGAAGGCACGTCTGTTACAGACAACTCAAATGATCGTTTTGCCGTACTTTCCGATGCTGCTAGAGACAAACTAATTAGCAACAAGGATTACAAAATTAAGAAAGCTTTAATTTGTATTCATATACTGAAAAATTGTACTTAAATGAATGGCAGTGACTTATAGTTATCACTATGACTGGTCTTCACTCTTTCCTATAGGAATCGTACAATAACTCGAGTTTGCTTTGAACAATTTGAATTTATGAGAATTTTTAAAAACCTGGTTCCTCAATGAAATAAACATAATAGTTATTGAACAACTGGTCATTATCGTGATACATGGACTGCCCGTAGGACAGTGGTATTACGGCTTAGTCATTATCGCTGTCTAAGTCAATACCACTGTCCTGTGGGCAGTCCATATATCACAAAAATGACCAGTTCTTCAATAACTATTATATAATTAACGTTTAGTCCACTTCGAACCGATGTCTTTGTTTTATATAAGTATCAACAAGGATTAAACACGGACCGACAAGACAATCCCAAAATGAGATGTGACGTGAACAATAATTCTACTGTTTGCTCAACATAGAAGCAGTATAACACTAGACCGTGTTTGTGTACTATACAGATAAAACCAATATTTTTGTGCATACCTTTTATTTGTACAATGATTGGTTAATTGCATCTTTTATATTATAAGCAATTTGTTTTACTAGAAGAGAAAAATGTCTCTATTATGATTATTGTTGAACAGCGTTTTCTGATCATAAATCTTGTATTTTGGTCTGGACAGGTAGAGACGGGAAGGTGGCAGTTTTCCGATTAACTGATTTTGAAGGTGAAAAGAACGAAAATTTTGTAAGAGGACGTATTGATTGTAGGGACCATAAAATTGAGAAAACAAAAGGTATTGTTATGTTGTAAACAGTTATGTCACTTTACAAACGCTTTAAACAGTTATGTCACTTTACAAACGCGTGTCCAAATGTGATTAGGTATTTTGAATTTAAAGGAAATCTGTGTGGTGTGATAGTATTAAAAAAGGCATAATAAAAGGCTTAGGTCATACATACTAACTACGACAATCAATTGTTGACAAATTATCCAGTAATTTATACATAGCTAATCAATTCAAAGAGCAGTCAATAAAAATAAACCACGAGTTAAAGAAAGAAAGACCATCATGATCTCATAGAAATACGAAGGTCATACAAACCCCACTGAAAACTGTGGATGAACTCTTGCGCTCTATCTGGAAGGATCAGTTTATTATGATACATTAAAAAAAGCATACTTATCGTATATTCACATGAAAAATAAATTGATTTTTATCGTTCTTTACTATTATCTCTGGATACACATAGGTAAACATAATTGCACTATAATATTTCAAATATTGTTTTGATTTGGCTAACCTAGGTTGCCATTTATATGCTCTGTCACGGAGTGGAAGTAGCCACTTACGAATGGTAGCTGCTATTCATAAACGACTGTTACTGTTTACATGGAAACACTCGGCTGCTTTTACGTCATGGTGTCCGACTATGGATATTGACTTATCAGATGGCTTTACATTTGTAAGGGTATGTGTACATTTGTATATTTGTATAAGTCATACTATATAAACATTTTTTCCGCAAATATGAAGAGGAGAAATTTGCAATTTTGACGAAAATAAACGAAAAAAGAATCCCTGTATTGAAATAACCCTCCATTGAAACTAACATAACAAAGAAGACCTTAATAGTAGAACAATTTGTAAGAGTGCTATAGTTTGTTTTCAACTCTGATTGTATTTTTTTTTATTTACAAATTACTTAGAAATAAAAGAACAGGGGCTAAGTTAACAGTTTATGCAATGCTCATAGAAATGATAATTCTTTCCAAATGAATTCAAACTCAGAAATTAAAGCACTTTTGTCGTTAGGTAATTAAGCGTTCTTAGCTCGTCATACTTTTTATATACATTGTCGCAAAAACCAATTTAAACATAGAGTAATGCATGTTCCATTCTGTTTCTCTACATCCTCAGGAGTTACAATCGTTCGAAGTGCCTCAGCTAATTACACTTGTAGATGAAAGTAAAGGAGACAATCAAATATGTGTTGGTTATAAAAATCAGTTTGACCTAATCAACGAGAAAAATGGTGATACATTACAACTATACAGCGTCGACAATAATAAGGTAAGAAAGCAGCAAATAGATGTTGATTGGTTGTCTGAAAGTACTTTTATATAAAAATTAGAAAATGTGGAATGATTGCCAATAAGACAACTCTCCACCGGAGACCATACGACATAGACGTTAACAACTATAGGTCACCGTACGGCCTTCAACAATGAACAAAACCCATACAGCATAGTCAGCTATACATGTCCACCGAAATGACACATATAAACCCATTCAAATGAGATCTTGTTAATTTTCTTTTTTTAATGTGTCATGGATGAGTCTTGGTATTACGATCTAATCTTCTTGATTTTTAATTTGTCTTTGCATTCTCAATTTTTCTGTAAGACCCAAGAAGGAAATTGAGATTCTAAAATAATTGATACCTTATGATCATAGAAAAAACACTTGAATTTAATTATGGAGTTAATTATATAATGATGACAACATAGATACAATTAACAATCCTCTATTGGTAAATGCCTTCTCATCGGCTATGTTTCATCATTGATTTTAATAGGAGTAACACAGAGGGGCCAGAGTGGAGAAGGAACTGCTAAACTTCAAGAGCTTCTCCATGTTGTAGTGACGTTCGTGTTGCTAATCTTAAGTTGTCTTATGAAGTGTTTATGGGCTGTCCTTTCTTCGTTGTTATTATCGTCATGGTTTTATCTATAATTTTTAATTGATGGTCATTTATTGAACCCTCTTTGGAACATATTTGTCGATTACTGTAGCTTAATGTAGTGAAGTTATATTGAGTTCTCATATGGTTCTTGTTGCTCAAGCTCTGTAAAATGTTGTTGCTCTTTTCACTTTTCTCATTTGGCAATAGTGTTGTCTGTTCTTTTTTGACTTATGATTTTTGATATTTGACCTGATTAGTTCCCATATTTTTATAAGAAATAAGATTAAAATTATTTTTCAAAGTTAAGTTTAACATAACTTGCTGACTATAATTTGCTCAGGCATACATACTTTTTCAAAGTATTGCATGTGTGCCTTCGTTGTACTGTCGTTATTTCTTTCTTTCTTATTTTCAACTGAAAAATATATATCACATTGTGAAGATGCTACCAAAAATAATAATTAAAAATCTTACTTCAGTATTACTTTAATTCATGAATGATAACCAAGTTTAATATTGTGATGTTTGTAAAATAATAACAACCAATGCATTATATAGGTAACACTGGTGTCAGCATTAGATATATGTGAAGACGAAGAAGTAGAATTATTGTTGAGTTATAATTGTAAGTAATCAGTTTCCTGAATTCAACGAAATTTAACGAATATATTTTTCTGAAAGACTTATCGAATATTGATGTACACATCATCAATTATTTCAATTGCATCCATGCAAGGCATTTATTCACGAAATAGACATTAAACAAGTTATTCATTAGTCTGTAGCATGTACCAGAAGGAAAATACAAGCAGTAGTAGTCCCGACAAAAAGAGCTATAAACTTTGAAAAGTAGATTAATACCAAAAACAAACTGTCCAAACCAATTTCCAATTTTGTAAAGAATCGCACATGTCAATATGTACTTCCAATCTAGAACTGGTCATTAACATTGATAGTAATACCATCATAAACCAAACCATGTATGCATGTATCTTTTTCATACAAAATGGACCTGTTATATAATACTGTGTCACACAAGAAATTCCTTTTTGCCAACCATTTTATCAGTTTTTGTACCAAAATAAGTTGTGGATAAAATCAAAAAGTAAACCGTAAAGTTGTTTTATTTTGCTTAGATATATTGAACTTCTTCTGCTTAAAAACTCAAACTTTATTTTTAGATGAAAGTCACTTTCAAAAATTGTCTGAAGAAATATCGAATGATTTTGACTTTCATTGGAACTCGGAACCAAAGTCTATTGGTAAGTACAGTTATTCACTGGATTACACATTTATGTTATTATACACTCCTCTGATTTTGTATGCATTTATACCGGTTCTAGTCAGTTTGATTATTTTTTTAATTAATAAATCAGAAGTTGATTAAAATATTCTCGCGTCATTTTCCACCATATCCATTTGAAACATTGCACTAATTTTAAATTTCCAATATTTCATTAGGGCAACAGATTCTACTTCTTCACCCTGTTTTGCTTCAATATTTATCCACGTTAGATATTTAAATTTTCAAATTCGACATTGCCCGGTAAGCATTCATCACAGATATTATGCTGGTAATCCGGAACTTCCGCCAGACGTGCGTTTTCGCTTGAGAATCATCAGTGGCACTCGATTCAAAATAATTGGAAGTTCAAATCATATACGAAGTTGAAGAGCATTAAAAACCAAACATTTCCGAAATTTTGTGCCAAAAACGTCTAAGGCAATCTGTGCGAGGGGGTAGAGAACTATACTACTGTTGCCTTTGTTTCCACCTTACTAATTTAACATTTTATAAACAGTAAGGTGTAAATAAAGGCAACAGTAGTATACCACTGTTCAAAAGTAATCAATCGATTGAGAGAAAACAAATCCGGGTTACAAAGTAAAACCGAGGGAAACACATCCTCTATAAGAGGAAAACAACGTAACAAAAACACTGAAGTGCAACAAAAACAAACGACAACAGACATAGAAACGAACTATTTGATAACAACTACCATATTCCAGACTTGGTACAGGACATTTTAAGAACAAATGGTGGGTTGAACCTGGTTTTATGGCTAGCCAAACCTCCTGCTTATATGGCAATGTTAAAAAATATCGTGACAGAAATACAGCACAAACGCAAGAACACTCAGCACAAAGAAACGCAGAAATAGATAATGTAATAGTCGGTACAACATGTAAACCGCAGAATAACAACGAACATCTTCCATTCACGACAGCACAGGACATCACAAACAGTGACGTATTTTTGTTACGAATAATCAAATAATCTTGAAATTCATACAATTATTTTCACAATACTAGTCCAAACAATTATCATGACTATGACGGTATTGAAAGGCTTTTTTAAATAATCATTAGGACTAACACAATACTTTACCCATGGAAAATGAAAATTAACTCGACTATACTGACAAATAGAGACATATGTGAAATGTACCGAAAATACAGAATTCAAACCACAAACGATAAGACATAACACAATATTCAACCGAAACCACAACAGAAACATCATACATAAATAAATGAATGTTGGATGTATAAATACCGAAACACGTCGTATAGCAATGCAAATTCACATTGTAAGTTCGTTACTTCGGCTGTTATCTGCTCTTTGGCCGGGTTGTTGTCATATTCCCCATTTCCATTCTCAATTTTATATATATGCTCCGTTGTTTCAAGTTGATGAAAAGACATGTAAGAAAATGAAAAAGAGGTATTTTTGTCAAACGTTTCTTCTAAAGCATTGACAATTACACTCCATATAAGCCGCACATAGCAATTTTGGTGAAATTTTACAAATTCGTCTGGATTTTAACAAAATTTAGGTCTGGAAAACATAGAGCGCTGGCTTCGACAAACGTAATATTTGAGTCAGATATGTAAGTTGTTATGAAAACATAATATTAAATGATCTTTTTGTCGACGCATGCGCTCTATATGTCCAGTCTTAAAAATCAATATTTTCTATCTACTCAAGGTTTCATCAATGATTCAGTGATATTGGTCAATAAATCCTAATTTTAAATTTTAGCTGAAAATGAGGGCCATATTAGGGCCTGATCACACATACCCCTTTACAGAAAATGGATATACATAAACTAAAAAAACTAGCCAAGGAATTTGTTTTTGTCCCGGCCGATAAAGCTGCTAATAATATTATTATTGTTTGACGTAAATTTTACATTGAGGTTCTGAAAAAAGAAATCACCAATTCACCAACCTTCCAACTGACTCCATTTTCAGAAAACGACATCTGTAACAAACATAAACTTTTAGCTACCGCTTCACAAGCAGAACCAAATACAATGAAAGTCCCAACCATGTATTGGCTTCCGAAGCTACACAAAACACCTTACAAATATAGATTTATTTCGTCTTCAAGCCATTGTTCCACTACTAAATTGTCTATTCTTCTTACCAGTACACTTGGTACAATCAAAAACCTGATAATTAATTGTTCAAATAAGGCCTTCGAAAATAGTGGAATTAATTACTTTTGGAGTGTCAAGAACTCGTTGGAAGTACTTGATAAATTACATGCATATATTGGTGATTTTGAATCTGTTCAAAGTTTTGATTTTTCTACCCTATATACCACATTGCCTCACATTCTCATTAAGAAAAAATTCACACACCTAATTAAATGGGCATTTAAAAAGTCAGAATGTGAATATATATGTTCAAACTCTTTTAGGTCATTTTTTAGTAGCAATAAACAAAAAAACTATGTCAATTGGACATGCTTTGATACTATATATGCCCTTGAATTTTTACTAGATAACATTTTTGTTCGCTTTGGAGATTCCGTATATCGTCAGGTTATCGGAATTCCAATGGGGACTAACTGTGCACCACTTATTGCGGACCTTTTTTTGTATTGCTATGAGTTACAATTTATGACAAAAATCAGCAAAAACCCATCGAAACAACATCTGATACACAAATTTAATAATACTTTTAGATATTTGGATGATATTTTGGCTCTCAATAATGACGACTTCAGTATGTATACTAAAGAAATTTATCCTGTTGAACTTACTTTAAATAAAGCTAATACTAACAATGACCACTGTCCTTTCCTCGATCTTGATATCTATATCATTAATGGAAAGCTTAATACTAAAATATATGATAAAAGAGATGATTTTTCATTTCATATCGTTAATTATCCATTTTTAGATGGTGACGTTCCCTTGTCACCATCTTACGGTGTTTATATATCTCAACTTGTACGATTCGCTCGTGTATGTAACAATGTTTTAGATTTTAACGAGAGAAATTTATGTATTACTGAAAAATTATTACACCAGGGTTTTCGATATCACAAACTAGTCAAAACATTTACTAAATTTTATCATCGGTATAAGGACATCATTCGTAAATATAGCTCAACATGCAGACTTCTTATACGTTCAGGTATTTCACATCCAATTTTTTATGGAAATATTCTTTATAAAGCACAAAAATGTCAGTATTCACCTCTGAAGCTAACAAAACCTTTAAATAGACTTATTAAGAAGGGATATAGTTACGATACTGTTGTCAGGTCATTAAAGATTGCATATTTTGGCGTTAATATTGATTCTCTTATAGGGTCTTTGCATCGGCACTAAACACATTTATTTAAAAACCAGTTGTTGGCATGACACGGGTTATGTTCTTCTCATATATGTTATGATGGTATGATACTAAACCCCTAACGGGAAGGATTGTGCCTGATATTCATATGATGAAGACATAATCTTTCAATCAGTTTAATTGAAGTCTGGAGCTGGCATGTCAGTTAACTGCTAGTAGTCTGTTGTTATTTATGTATTATTGTCATTTTGTTTATTTTCTTTGGTTACATCTTCTGACATCAGACTCGCACTTCTCTTGAACTGAATTTTAATGTGCGTATTGTTATGTGTTTACTTTTCTACATTGGCTAGAGGTATAGGGGGAGGGTTGAGATCTCATAAACATGTTTAACCCCGCCGCATTTTTGCGCCTGTCCCAAGTCAGGAGCCTCTAGCCTTTGTTAGTCTTGTATTATTTTTAATTTTAGTTTCTTGTGTACAATTTGGAGTTTAGTATGGCGTTCATTATCACTGAACTAGTATATATATTTGTTTAGGGGCCAGCTGAAGGACGCCTCCGGGTGCGGGAATTTCTCGCTGCATTGAAGACCTGTTGGTGACCTTCTGCTGTTGTCTGTTCTATGGTCGGGTTGTTGTCTCTTTGACACATTCCCCATTTCCATTCTCAATTTTATGCATGTAATTTCTTGGCGATTCAAACACCCGGTATGATAAGACCTGGAAGACACTGGAAAATCACATGAACAATCAATAAAAACGCCTGAAAACGATTTGAAGTCTAAAAAAGATCAATGATCAATATATGCATATAATATTTTTATCTTTATGCCTTCTTATACAAGTCGTTACATTACAAATTGTTTAAAAAACGAATGTATGTGCTATTTTTTTCAGTATGTGCCTTTCCGTATGTGCTTGCTTTTACACAAGACACAATTGAAATTCGATTGATAATCAATGGAAATTTAGTTCATACCATGACAATGCCTGATATTAGCCTCATTACATCGAAGGTATGTCATTTATGTTAATTAAGTTTTATTGCCTTCTTTTGTAATTTTATATGGTATCAGGTGGGGTAACATCTTGATAACCCTTTTGAGTACTTGAGCTCATCTCTAATCGTGATGGGTTCAAACATTATCGGTACCAATTTTTCTGCACCAGATGCACATTTTGACAATAAATGTCTCTTCAGTGATGCTCGAGGCAACAATATTTGAAAATCTAAAGCTTATTAAAGAGATGAAGAGATATAATCCAAAAAGGTTATTGATGCACACTGTATATTTTATTCTTGTAGAATATTATGATCTTTTTGTTCATTGTATTGTGTGTGTACATGTATCTTCGATCAATGATTTTAATACCTCCTTCCAATCTTCATTTTTTTCTTTTAATCTGTATTCATGTGTCTATTCAATAATTACACTGTTAAAAATATTTAGTTTAAAGACTGATTTTTCGCTTGAACTACTTTTGAAAGAATAGATAATTAATCATGAAGTTACATTCCATCTTTTAGTCTATTTTCTTACATTCTTGATTCACATGAAAAGCAAGTTACATGAACAAAAAATCTTGATTTTCCTCTTATTCTGTCGCCAAAAAAAAAAGGTATGAGTTGAGACCATAAAGGAGTTATTGTGATCACAAACCGGTGGATGACAAATTCATGTACTGCAGACTATTATCTAGAAAACTTTTAAAACTAAACAGAAACTGCTGCAAGTTAAAATGATCAGCAATTCATGATCTTCAAAAAAACCAATGTGACTTAAACCATCAATCATGTCAATAGACTCAATTTAATAGTTAGTACTCTTAAGGAAGTTCGCTTGTCATGTTTTGGAATTTTTGTCAGATTTTCGGAATCCTCTGGTTTTATTTATTTGATTGCCTTAAAAAATTTTGCCCATTGACCCCCATTTTTCTTTTTAAAAATCTTTTACATGCACAATTATAAGCCATCTGTAAAAGTCTTATAAAATCTTAATTATTTTTTAATAGTTTTTGAAAACTTTAACTTGTCAATGATAAAGCTATGAAAAATCAAGAGAGGATATTTTCCCGCCAAAATTTCAATGGCTAATATCTCGAAAACAAGCACATTGACCTATATTTTTTTTTGGCTCTTTTTGTTCCTTTATTAATCCCCTATCAATATATATTAGTGTTATGAAAAGCTTGTTATTTTGAAACTGAGTAGCGAACTTCCTTAAACGACAACTTTTGACCAATTTAAGAGCTTTGCACTTGCATGGTAATAGATAAACTGAACGCTAAGCGATAATAATAATCAGCAAAGCAAGATCCACAATTGAGACATACGATTGAAACTGTCAATTGTCTGTTGATTGAACAGTTCTCATTTATTCTCAAATAAAGTATCAATATATATTATCATTTGAACACGACTACAGTTTTTATTAAGATGGTTTTCAGATCAACATGGACATCTAATGGCTATATGAGTTTAAATTTATGACTTAGACTAAAATTTGGTATATAAAAATAAGAAGATGTGGTATGATTGCCAATGAGACAAGAGACCAAATGAATACTATAGGTCACCGTACGGCCTTCAACAATGAGCAAAGCCCATACCGCATAGTCCGCTTTATGTGTCAGGTGTTATTGTCACATTTGCAATGGCTCTACGTCATTTTCATCGCGCGATAATCGTTTTACTATATCAATAAGTATGGCCTTAACTTATCATTCTTACTTTTCAGTTTTATGTATTAAGTTGAGTTGCTAATTCCAGTTCGTATGCGTTTACATAGCGTAACTGATTAATGTGATAAATAATGATGCACCGTGTTCTATTTTAAGAATGATATCTATTTTGGAAGCTCATCAACTGACAGAAAAGATAAAGACCACTCATCAACAACCCCATCATCACCCTCATGTAAGTCGTTTTTACTATAATACCTATTTAAATAGCAGATTAAAATTTATGATTATGTTAAGTACAAGTAGGGTGAATATTAATGAGATAGTATCAAATTTAAACATTGATCTTTAAATTGAACAACTCGCAGTTAAGATATAGAAGTGTTATCCATGTTGATACAAGTGAGCTAAACATTGTCAGAGACTGAGAGGTTATGAACTTCTGTAAAAAGGACAGAAATAAAGTGCATCTTCTTGAATTAGGCTCAGGAAATGTAATGTGGTACTCACATTAGTGACTCGTAGTCTTTTTTTTAAAATGTATGCATTTTGTCCATTACGGTATTGAACATTATGGAATGAGCTATAAACGAAAACTTTCAAATGTTCAACTTCTATAAATTCAGTTCCAACTAACTCTCTAGCCATAAAGGGTAAGGACATATTTTTTGGACAAGGGTTTATATAAAAGCGGTGTTTCGGATGTGTTGGGGTTTCTTTTCAATTATTGAATAAGATAAGTCTTTTTGGGAATTCATTTGACTCCGTTGTCAGTTACTGTTATTAGTTACACTACGACACAGTCTAAAGGTCTGGTCACAACGAACCACGACACATCTATGCAGCGCCACGACATGAAATTTAGTTATATTGCGGGTTTTTTGTGATCGTCGTACGACAGTGGCACGACAGTGACACGACAGTAACACGCGCATCCCATGACATGAAAACCTGAAAATAGCCCCAAACAACTCACGATTGTCGTACGACTGTCGCTTGGCCGACTTGCGACAAACCCACGACAGTACAATTACAATTCTTTTTTTTCTGTCGTGTACCCATCGTGAAACCATCGTGAACATGTCGTAGCTGATGTGATCACTCGAAATATTTTTTTGACATGTTGCACGACAGTGCTATGACAACTATTTCATAGATCTTCAACGACAAAAATTCGTACGATCTGTTGTGACCGGGGCTTTAAAGCAAACATAATTTTTCTGATGAAATAAATGATCTTTCGGTTAATCAGGTTGTAAGTCTTACTGTTTTAATCACAACAATTCCCTTGTGTGTTAATAAAAGTAAGTAAAGAGTGCAATGTTTTAACATGCATATACAAGTTTAAAATCCAGTAATTATATAACTTTATCTGAATTTGCTTGGTGTGAATGTATTCATCTCCGTCTTGTATCGTATTTAATCCATTACTGTTATAAGTCCTTTAAAAAAAACACAGCAGTTCATAATATCATTGTTTTTTTGTCGAAATTAACCCATCACGACTTGCAATTGCTAGTTCCAACGTAGAATTAATTGTTGTCCCTGTTGCAACACACACACGTATCATCCTCTCCATGTTATATGTTGTGTGATAATAATGTGACTTATTCATCATTGCGGTTTTTATTTTAGGTTCAAGCCAATCGACTATATACAAAATTCCTCTATCGTGCCTTGCCGGTCACATTAGTAATGATAGGTTAAATCAGCGGAAGCCGTCATCGACTCCATTGCTTGCTCCTATTACAAATGGAGATAAGACATTAGTAAAACGCAGTCCATTAGTGCGAACTAAAGGTGGACTTTACCCTCCAATTTACTTAGAACAGGTAAGTAAAACGCAGTCCATCAGTGCGCACTAAAAGTGGATTGCACCCACCAATTTACTTAGAACAGATATATGAAACAAATAACATCAGAAAGATTACATCAGATGTGTAGAAACGGTCTTTAATGAATTAAAAGTATGATTTCTGTAATTTAAGGACATGTTTTGCGAGTTTTGAAATGACTGTCAGGTTTTTTTTCTCTCAAGTATATGGCCTTGCAACGAATTTTTATTTTTTTTATGGTATTGAAAGTTTGCCTTCACTTTTTTGTTATATTAAAGTTGATCTTATTGAACATGTGTCACAATCGAAAAAAAACATAAATAATCGTACATATATTTCAAACAATGGTAAACGAGGTCAGCTTATGAATCCATTTCACTTTCAGAATCACGATGAGGATTAACTTTCAGTACGTTAAGATGACATATATTGATACAAGTAGGCATATGCTGCTGCTTTTACATGTACCACAATGTCTACAAATTAACTAGAAAGCATTTTGCGCGGGAAATCACGAGAAAATTATGAATTCCCACTTACGGATGATTATTTTGTGAATTTCAGACAAAAGAGAGACACGATTCTTCCAGTTCAGATTCGGGAATTACAATTTTAAAACCGTCAGATTCAAGTCCACCAGAGAGTCCGTATCAAAAATACATAGGCCATGTTGTTTATTCAGATGTTGATACAGATATTGTATAAGTAGTTGTACAATTGCATTTTAAAGGTTTCTTTAAAACTCATATTTAAGTTTTCTAAACAAATCAAGCTATATTCATCGTACACAAATAATTTTCGTGTTATTTCAGAGTGTATCCTTTAGTTAACATAAAACACAAACCTGCATATTCATCAACATCAATCTAGGCATAAAATGAATCAAGACAAATTAAAAGGGTTGCGAAAATGACATATATCATTTATAAACACCGTTTACAGTCTGTGATATAAATAAATATATGACCAGTTATAGTAACAAGGATAAATAACTTTGAACAGTTTATAACTGCAGTCATTGATATGGTGAAACAACCCTTACAGTCTTATAGCAGAACAGGGATATATCTATGGAGTTATAATAGAACAATAAACCGATGACTGTTTCTTGGATTATGTGTAAATATACGTTTGTGTATTTCTGGTGCAACTGAGAACAAAAAAAAAAAGAAATGTTATAATATTCTATGAAAAAAAATCATATTGGATGAATCCGTGACGGGAAGTTGATGGACGTGGAACTAAAATCTTCGTCATTTTAGGAATAACACTGGAATCTAACATGTATAGAGAAATCAAAACTTAGTCTGAGAAAGTTTTATTGTGGAGTTGTGACCTCTGTGGGACTAAAGAATACTACAGAATGTTGACTTTAAAGACATTACATTGTAGAAACACCTTGAAATTGTACTGAGTAAAGTTTATGAAAACTGTTGAAACAAAATACTGTGAAATCCTTGTAATAAAAATCCCGTGCAACCCAGACATGTTTGTCGTGTGTAAACTGAAAACGTGTATAATCACATTTACAATGATTGTTCTTTAGTAAATGAATCTTTGAACACTGTGCATATGTCTAATGCGAATCAAACGTCGGTGTTGACAGGATATTCTGCAGTTGTTACTTCTCACATGTCATCATAGCATGAATTCATAACCTAAATATTGTTTAATTAATAATAATTTACAATTTCTTAAGATTTTATTGCAATGACAATAATTAACATTTTTTTTCAGATTTTATTGCAATGACTTTAATTCATAATTTCTTTATTACAATGAGGATTTAATTAAATACATCATATCTACAATATTCCCATTCTCCATTTTATGTATATGCTCATGAGGCAGATTTATAAAGAATAAGTTATTTTCATTTCTTTAATTACTCTATTAAGTGTTAACTAGCAATTATTTCAAACCTCTGTTTCTAGTGAAAACAGTTAAGAATAGCATGTCTGACTAAAAATATAAGAAATAGTGTCAACATGGAACATTTTCACTCCATATAAGCAAATTCCAAATACAACGAAAACGATAAGACTTATTTTTCCTAGCGTACCTGATTATTGTTAATCCACGTGCGCAGGTCAATTGCTCTGAACAACAAATATAAACTTTTCTCTTTCTTGAATTTTTGTCCCTTGGTTGCTGTCTCGTTTATGTTTACCAAAATATCATTAATATGCATAGTATCTATGGACCAAATTATAAAATAGAAAATAAATACATATGTTGGGGCCTTTTATATCCGGCTATACGGTTTGGAATTTCCTCATGGTTGAAGGCCGAGCAGTTAACTATAATTGCTTAAATCTACGTTATTTAAACTATGTTGGATGTTTGTCTCATGGGCAATCATACTATATATTTATATAGAATATCACACTAGATTGCAGATAGACATATATATGACTGTCATGTTTATAACTTAGAAAAGTTCTTTTCATGGGAGTGAAGGCTTAAATGTAAATGTCAAGACCTGATATATGCTGGATTCTTTTTTACTCTGAAGCACATGACTTCTTGGAATCAATATCATTATAAACAAGAAAATGTATTGCAATAAAACATTTATGTTATAGCTTTTGTAAATTCATCTAAGATATTTTAAAAGCTCTTATAAAATGATAAATTAAATTATGTTTTGTGTTGTAAATAGCACAAATGAGCCTCACCAGAGTTATTGGTGTTGCTTTTCTTTCCCTTCGGTGTCAGTAATGTTACTTTTCTTACATTTTTGATATTAACAGGTTCAAGTTACGGGTTCTCATCGTGTATCTGTTTATATTTGTGTAATTTTTCATTATAAAATACGTTTAATATTTTGCGTTTCACAATATGCGACTACCAATTTTATCTACCAGTCATTTCATGAATGAAATTTACAAATATATGTGTTGTTTTATGACCATAATTCTGTTAAGATTTTTCTTTTTTCAATTTAACTTTTACAAGGCAAAACATGACCAAATTGTAAAAGCAACCAACATCAGTGTTAATATCATACATCCGGGCATCAACAGACAAACACCAGGGCAAACACAGCTAAAATCGCATGCAACTCTATCTTATCATGCGGATCATATGAGTAATTACTGGTAATCTTTCTCTGCTTTATGCATACATTACTTTATCAAAATAATCTAAAAAGAAAAATATCAAAATACCGAATTTCAAGGAAAATTCAAAACGGAAAGTCCTTTATCAAATGTCAATAATTAAAAGCTCAACACATCAAACAGATGGAAAACAACTGTCATATTCCTGACTTGGTACAGGCATTTCCTTATATAGAAAATGGTGGATTAAGCGACAGTAAATTATAATACTCGCATCATTGGATTTTGTAAACGACATGACTTGGTTGACCGTTCACATATTATGAAACATGTTCAAATTGTTCTAGAAAAACAAATCAATCTCCTCTTCTGGTTTATGAAAAAGTATTCACTTTCAAACATATTGAAGATGTTTTCATATTAATGAGCCACATTTCAATAAGTTTTTGCATATTATAGATCCCAGTGAACATGGTGTAAAATATACTTCTCTGCTAAAACTAGAAGTTCTGTTTCATATCTTTTTGTAGGTATTGACAGAGACGGACCACCTTAACCAAAAATATATGACAAACGTGATGATTTTATATTATCAATTGTCAGTTTCCCGTTTTTCAGTAACTTAATTTCTACCTTAATGTATGGAGTATATATATCTCAAATACATTATAACGTTCGTGCATGTTCTCATTATAGGGATTTCCGCAACATGGATGTGCTACTGACACAAAAATGCTTTAACAGTGTCATGAAGGAAAACGACTATACTTTGAATTGAAGAGTATAGGAAGAATAAAAAAGGGAACCATATTCTCCTTTAATTTCTTGCATAGCTTTTTGTTTATACCAAAACATTACCTTCTATATTACTTTATCTATTAAACATCTTAATACCCTTGATTAATTGTACAAAAAGAAGCCACTCCCTCCCCATTAAAATAAACACAAACGAACACATGCGCATTCATATAACGTACCCTTCACAAACGTCTAATCTGAAAAGCTTCAAACAAAGTAAATTCTAACACTATTATTATTTATATTTACTTATGTACTTATGTACTACATGTACTTATGTGATTAATTATTGTATAATTTGGTCCAAACCATTGTTGTTATTTATCCAAATGAATGTTTTATTGGTGCTTTTTGAAAAAATTGCGTTGATATTTAATATTATTATTGTTTCTAATTGTAAATATATGTTAAAATGTTTTGCACCAGAGGTTTCTATTTTTGTCGATTAAATTTGAATCTTTTTTGATTTGTTATTGTTCCATTGGTACCAATTAATGACATTTAAAAGGAATGTTTATTATTTCTATACCTTTTCATATGTACTGTAATGTTGACGTATAAGTTGAAAGCTGGATAAACCTGGATTAACTGGAATGTATCAATGATTTTCGTAACTCTAGTCGAAATCACGTACAAATTTCAAAATAGCAGAAGAAATATTGCTTTCATCTTGTTTTTGGTCATTCGAGAAACTGTCAAGCATTATGTATCTGCTTTAAAATTTGTAAACAAAAAATGCTTTATTTACATATGATATACAAACCAATTAGATAATAAAAACGACATGTAAACCTAAACGTTTAAAACGGTGGATCTCCCGAGTAAATCGACCACCCTGTCACAACAGCGATAAAAACGCTCACAAAACCTTGGAATACCAATCGTTGCTACACAAGTTTTAACATGTGACTCTTTTCCCTCTTTTCACAAAAAAGTCGTACCTCTCTAAAATTTAAATAGCCATCATCATCGTATAACTCTAAAAAAATATTATCTTAAATGTCGGAAAATCTTATTGACTACAATCGCTAGGGCATTAACAGTAAACTCACTTTGAGCTTTACTGTACAATCGCAGCTTGGCCAAGATCATAAAATACATTGCATTCATATTTCCTTGATTTTTTCATGTCTATCCTTAAATATTGATTTATGAAATATTGAAATAAATTTGAAGATATATTCAGTCATTTATTGCGATTAAGCTTCTATCATATCAAGTACACCTATCTACTAGGCATTCATACTTCATCTCCATCAGAGACTGTACTGAAAATGAAGCAATCAGTATACAAGACGAATGTAAACCAGTAGAACTGTGAGCTATCCCAGCTTCAATAATCGAAAAGCAGGAAGTTGAAGGAAAATGAATCTGAAAACCAATTACACGGTACATCATGTTCATATGAAGACTGGTTTGTCTTTCATAAAGCCAAATACCCATATTCCCAGTAGGAACTTAGATACATTAATCTTAATGTCGTAAAGTTTTGTTGACTGTACCCTCACTTGGGAATTTAATATTCAATCGCTGGAATACCTTCACATTACTATACATGAGAAAAGGGTCATACGTTCAATTGTTTTAGCAACGATTTTTTTCTATGTTTTTTAGTAGTTTTATCGCTGTTTTGTGACAGTTTTGATCGGTTTACTCGGAGGTTCACCATTTCACGGAAAGTGTTTGGGTGCGTAAGTCGTTTGATTATGACCCACGGGGGTATAATGTTTTTGACTTGTCCGTTCGGCTGTCTGTCTGTCCGTCTGTCCGTCAGTCCAGTTTTGCCATCGCAACTCCTCTGAAACCACACAACAGAGTTTCATGAAACTTTTTAGATAATAAGCACATACTATGTGGATATGGCCTAAATATACTACTGCAACAGTTTGTCATTGCAACCATTCAAAATCCACACAACAGATTTTCATGAAACTTTGTAGCTAATTAGGACATACTATGTAGACGTGTATATCGACCGGAAATTATGATTTAAGTTTTGCCCCTTTAAACTTAGAATTTTGGCCTAAATATACTACTGCAACAGTTTGTCATCGCAACTCCTCTATAACCACACAACAAAAGTTCATGAAATTTTGTAAGTAACAAGGACATCATATGTAGATGTGCATATCCACAAGATATGTTTAACAATTGACTTTTGTAGGAGTTATGAGTCTTTGATCTTAGTAAACGGGGGAGATTTTGATTGCCCAGGGACAATGTGGGGGCGTGGGGTATCTGAGCGTGCTCACGTAGGTTCTTTAATTATTTAAAGGTTTCTTTATATATCTAAAATATTCTCGTTACCAAATTTCGAAGAAAATACTGAATACAAGAAAATCTGTTTAAATCAAACTCTAATTCAGCAACTGTTTTGCATTCGAAAGATCAAGTTGACAGTCTCTCGAATGACAAAAGAAACAGCAAAAAAAAAAATAAAAATTAGCAGTTCCGTTTCTCCGACGTAGTAGAGTTATGAAAGCACTATCTGTGTTTTTATTTATAATTCAGTATGAATAAAAGAAAATATGAGAAACAGATCTTTGATACAGATATATATTTCATAGTAGTAAAACACAATTATTAAAAATGAAAGTGTCATATATAAGTTTAGCTACATCGTTATCCGCTTCGGTGAAGGACTCTTGGCAAGTTTTTTTGGTCAAAGATCATTTAGAGTGTTAATGTCACAAAATAATCAAATTTGTATATCAGGCTTCAATATCATCTATTCAAAGTAAATTGAAAATTAAAAATCCAGGGAATCTAGTAAATACACAATGGTCTTCGCTTTGTTGTATTCTTTCCACTTTCCATCTGACAATGCTTATATTTATTTTCACAGCAGATACTAAGTCGTGGAACAGTTGTCCCAAAGTGCTGTTATTCAGAAACAGTTTTTTTTTCATTTTTCTATCTACTTTTTTTTTTTCATACTTCTTATAATATAGATAGGTATTATGAAGGAATGTGCCATTAAACACTTCCTGTTGACTTAACGAAGGAATTGGAGATCCTGAGATCTGATTCAAATAAGTCCCAAAAGTCAAACAAGATTGATACTGCGCAAACCCATGTGCAGTACTAATTTAAAAAGTTACTGGAATCAATCGAGAAATATTTATCAGACTTTATTAAAAGTGTTATAAATTCGTTGGAACCTAATGCGTGCATGTTTGACAAAATCTTGTTAATTGAATTCTCGGAATGAAATTCTTTTGTATAGGAAATTACCCTAGCTGTGAGAACAATATGACACAAAATCAAACACTTCATGTAAATTGAATCTATTTAATGGCATTGCATGCCTCATCCAGTACGTTTACAAGAAAGTGAGTATTTCCACCAAATTTATCTAATACCTCTTTGTTTTCAAATCTGAAAACTGAACATAAATAAAGGCAACAGTAGTATACCGCTTTTCAATAGTCATAATTCGATTAAGCAAAAACAAATCCGGGTAACGAAACTAAAACCGAGGGAAACACATCAACTTTAAGAGGAAAACAAAAGAACAACAGAAACACTGAACTGCTACAAAATCAAACGCCAACATACATAGAAACGGACTATTTGATAACAACTGCCATATTCCTGACTTGGTACAGGACATTTTAAGAATAAATGATGGGTTGAACCTGGTTTTATGGCTAGCAAAACCTCCCGCTGATATGGCAATATTAAAAATGCCGCCAAAATGACAACACTACGTGACAGAAATACAGTACAAACAAACGCAAGAACACTCAGCACAGAGAAATAAATTAAATATCTATATATTCAGGTACCTCTTATTTTTTGTATAACAGGATATTTTCAAGCCGTCAAGCACAGTAGATGTAAATCCAAAGTGGTCAAGAGATCCACAAATACGATGATATTTAATAATGCTTTTGTCGACATTTCCTAACAACATTTCATATATTGTTTTTCGTATCGAAGAGTAGATCTGTGTATTGATATTCTCTCATCAATGTCTTCAACTTTACACAGAAGAAATACTTCTTGCAAATTGAGTATGTTCTGCACGCATACAGGTATTGCACCTGTCCGATGATTTTCCTTTAATGAGTCTGTTGTGTTCGTGTTCTTATTTACGAAGCCTTGAAAATTTCTAGTTTCTGCATACATTGCAAATGACATCATTAAACCTATATGTACAGTTTCCGGAAGACTATTTTGCAGTCTTGAACAAGCTGTATTGACTGATGTAGTAGAAGCTCACTTAATTGCTTTTCTTTGTATCAGAGTTAGATTGATCGTATCCCGATCATCAGGTAAGGATGAATAAAATTTGGATAACTGTTTTCTATTGATGTAATCATTTCCTAAAGCGTCAGCCAATGCTGGTAATTTAGAAACTCGCAAGCCAGGAAAGACTTTCTTCATTTTTTTGGCAAAATAAACTTTGCCTTTGCAGCAAGTTTTTGATACAACAAATGCATCTAATGGCACATACCCTTGTCTTATATTGTACACATAAAAATCACTGTCACTTGATAAAACTGGACACTTAAACTTATTTTTGAGAGTGGCAATATCGTGATCGGCTTCGAAATCACATACAACAAAGGGAATTTTCATCTTTCCTATCACCGCAAGGAATGTTATACGGCAGAGCATAAAAGCAAATGTGGTTTCAGAATTAGCGATTTTTTTATATTTATTAATTCTTTCCGTCGCTCTACGTTCATGTGTTTCATGTTTTTGACAGATCTTTACAACAGATGAACATATTTCATTGGGCATCAGTGAACAAAAGAGAGTTTCATTATCGTCGGCAAAAATGTCAGAATCGCCGCCATGTTTTAGATTGATATTCCGGTTCTGATACAGGAAATAAATCAGATTGTCGCCATCAATAACCAGTTTTGTCCTTGAAAGTGTTTTTTATCTTCAAACAAAATCGTTGCGTTTTCATTCACAATGGTTGTTAATCCTTGAACACCCATCCTATTAGGTATAACATATATGTATTTATATATTTGAAATCAAAATCAAAATTTACATAAACATTAAGGTCTTGAATAACGCGCTTGACTTTTATGTGTATAACCGAAAATTTTATTTTTCGATATACCTTACATTAAGATAAATCAATGAGGAAAATCATACAGGAGAAGTTTTGGAAGAAAACAGTAGAAGTATTGTTCGAAAACAGATGTGTGCAATTACCTAGGTAAACCATAAAATTGTTCTTGTTTGCCGAAGTTTCATATATATTATGCACCCAAACAATGTATTCTCAAAATTTCGCTTTTTACAAATTGATCGTTTGTCAAATATTTATTGTATAATGTAAATATACAAAGTAATTTCAACTTATTGCCTTTTACGTATTACATTTTGTAGTTGAAAAAGATATTCAATGCATCCTCACAGCTCAATACTTTGGGATAGATGGCGTTTGTAAGACATAGTAAGAGAAAGTTTTTTGTACTGTAGTAGAAAAAAGGCATACCTATAGAAAGTAACTGAAGATATATATGATATGTATGGTGAAATGTTTAAAAACATTTGCATTTCTTTATAATTTATTCATATCCGTGTTAATATAACTGATTGTGGAATGTCCACTCAACTTGTATTGATTATCAATCAATAATTTAATTTAAGATGTAACGTGTCTTCCGATTGGCTGACGTTGTTTTGTTTATCAGCTCATAGACATAATTTTGTCATGTGACCGTGACGTCATCAACGTTTTTTCATGGTTTACTCCGGTTTAAAATGGAATTTAGAATTAAATTATAAGAAATGACTGTAATATTTTTTCTGTCTATTCGAAATAAGATAAAAAATGTGGTGCACACTTTAAAATAACCCGCTACGCGGGTTATTCAGTATGCACTACATTTTTGATGTTATTTCTTCATAGACAGAAAAAATACTACAGTCATTCCTTAATTGTTTGTAAAAGAAATACAAAACATTTTTTTAAATGATCTCTATCAAATACTTTATAGAGAAATTAGTTTCTTTTAGTTGACTTAAGTGAATTTTGTTATGATATTGATGTTTTAACTTTGGTTTTTTTAGCTTTATAAAGAAAAGTGAATCTAAAAAAGCCATGTTGCGTTGATATAATTGAGAAAATGTAGATGTTTAATATACGTTGATGAAACAGCAACCGAACAAGACAATGAACAAAATATGGCATCTAGATTTAAATATTAGGTCTTCAAATAGCTGGTTTCTATGTATGTTGGCGTTTGTTTTTGTAGCAGTTCAGTGTTGATGTTGTTCTAATGTTTTCCGCTTATAGTTGATGTGTTTCCCTCGGTTTTGGTTTGTGACCCTAATTTGTTTCAGTTAAATCGATTTATGACTATTGAACAGCGGTATACTACTGTTGCCTTTATTCTTCATTAATACTACAGGTCAATTTCTATATTGTGCCGAGTTTCCACAGGTTGTTATTTGTATTTCTAATGCTAGTGAGTCGGCCACTTCATGTGTAATGAAAATCGTTTGTGTAATTTTTGACTTCTAGTATACAACGCAATTAATTGATATTGTATCGGCTACATAACCATGATAACGTAACTATAACTTGTTAAGAGAAATGATGGTTGATTGGTCCAAATCAAAGGTCAATCGAATGGATTAAAAAAAAATAGTTTAAGGTTATAAATGAATTAAAGTTCATAGAATAAACAAACAAAAATACAAGTGTTTTTCTTCTTATGAATCATTAAAAGAATGAGTTTCACTTACATGAACACACATTCTTTTAGAATTAAAAAAGTATTATAAATGTAGCATTCATTCTTCTAATTTAAGTGAAATAATTTATTTTGTATAATTATCAATTTTATGACTGTCAGGTTTTTTCTCTAAGTGTATTATCTTATCAGACATTTGTCACAAAGGAAAAAAAAAAACATAAATAATCGTACAAATATTAAAATTTTTTTTTTTTTTTTTATTTATTCCAGCTTATGAATCCATCCACTTTAAGAAACACAATGAGGATTAACTTTCAGTTATATTAGGACAACATTTATTGGTACAGGGTAGGCATATGCTGCTGCTTGTACATGTACCACATACATGTATCTACATCTAAACCAAAATGCATTTACCACGGAGTATCACGAGGACGTTATGAAATAACACCACACTTACGGATGGTTATTTTGTGAATTTCAGACAAAAGAAAAATACGATTAATCCAGTTCAGATTCAGGAATTACAATTTTAAAACCGTCAGATTCAAGTCCACTAGAGAGCCCATATCAAAAATACATAGGCCATGTTGTTTTTTTAGATGTGGATATAGATATTATATAAGTAGTTGTACAATAGCATTTTAAACGTTTCTTTAAAACTCATATTCAAGCATTCTAAACAAACTAAGCAATATACATCGTAAACAAAAAAATTTCGTGTTATTTCAGAGTGTATCCTTTAGCTGACATAAAATAGAAACCAGCATATTTATCAACATCAATTTAGGGGTAAAATATATCACGACTCATTAAGAGGGTTGTGAAAATGACAATGATGATAACCATCGTGTAAACCACTTGTCAAAATTCTGTTTTGAAAACTGTCTGTTATATGATATCAGACCAGTTGTAGTAACAAGGATAAATAACTGTGAACAGAATTTAAATGAAATCAGTGATATCGTGAAACAACCCTTTCTAGTAGCAGAACTGGGAAATATCTACAATATGTAATAATAAAACAATAAACTAGTGGTTGCAATCTGAATTTTGTATAAATATGTATTTGTGTACTTATGGAACAACTTAAAACGAAAAGATCTATTATATTATATGAAATCAAATCAAATCAAATTGAATTGATCCGTGACGGGAAGTTATTGGTGTGAAACGCAAGTCTTCGTCATTGAAGAAATATCATAGGAATTCGTGCATGAATATAAAATCTATACATTGTCTGATCAAGTATAATTGTGGAGTTGTGATCTCAGTGGGACAACATATTACTACAGAATGTTGATTTTGAAGACACTATATTTAAAGAAACATCTTAAAATTGTAGTGAAATTTTTATGCTGAGTGAAATTTATGAAAAGTGTAGAAACAAAATACTGTGAAATCTTTGAAATAAAACCTTCTGCAAACCAGACATCTGTGTACACGGAGAACTTGTATCATCAAATTTACAATGACGTTTCTCTAGTTAATGAACCTTTGTTAACTGTGCATATTTCAAATGCGAACAAATTACGGTTTAGACAGTATTTTCGTTAGTTGTAACTGCTCACATGCCATCATAACAGGAATTTATAACCAAATTGAAGATATCTTGTTTTTCAATTAGGAATGATTAACAAATTCCTCAGATTTTATTACAATGAAGTTTCAATACATCTTACTCTAAATGGAGTTGTATGTGGTAATGAGGCAGATATATACAGAATTTAACATATTCAATTCTTGAACTTACTCTATCAAGTGTTAACTAGTAGGTATTTCAGATCTCTACTTCTATTAAACAAAACCAGTTAAGAATGAACATGCCGAAACATACGGTATCATCAACGAACATTCCCACTCCAAAAAAACACATCCCAAATACAACGAAGACGAAAAAATCTTAATTGCTCTAGCGTACCTGATTATTGTCATTCCACGGGGACACGGCAATTGCTCTTATACTTTTCTCAACAACAAATGTAAATTTTACTGTTTTTTAATGTTGTCCCTGGGGCGCTGTTTCCTTGATGTTTACCGAAAATATTCTATTATTAATATCCAATACCATTTCTGAACCAAACTATAAAATAAACAATTAATACAAAGATATGTCGAAGCCTTTTATTACTGACTTATACGGTATGGAATTTTCCAATGGTTGAAGGCCAAACAATGAACTATAATTACTTAAATCCACGTTATTTGGACTCTATTGGATAGTTGTCTCATCCGCAACTATTCCACATCACAAACAATATAAAAATAAATTGCAGATAGACATATATATGACCGTCATGTTTTTTCTTTAAAACATTTCTTTTCATTGAATTTAAGGCTTAAATGTAAATGTCAAGCCCTGATATAGTTGCTGTTTTTTGTCTCTGAAGCACATAACTTTGAGGAGTCAATATCATTACAAACAAGAATATGTATTGCTATAAAACATGTATACGATAGTTTTTGTAAACTCATCTAAGATATTTTTAAAACTCATATAGAATAATAAATTAAGTTATTTTTTGTGTTGTAAATAGCACAAAAGAGTCTCACCAGAGTGATTTGGTGTTGATTTCTTTCCCTTCAGTGTAAGCAATGTTGCTGTACTTACTTTTTAAAATGTTTACAGGTTCAAGTTACGGGTTCTCGTCATGTATCGGTTTATATTTATATATGTCTTTTTTTTCTTTTCATTTATTTTCATATTAATGTGATATTATGCGTTTTATCATTTGTGCGAGTACCAATTTTATTAAATAATCATTCCACGAATGAAACTCTCAAATATGCATGTCTTTTATTACGAGCATTCTGTTAAGAATTTTGTTTTTCAATTTAGCATTGACAAGCCATGACATGTGAGCCACATTTCAGTGAGTGCTTCTTCTCATACATTCCAGTAAACTTTGGATTAAGGATACTTCCCTGCCAAAACTAGGAGGTCTTCTCTATATCTTTTCCTCGGTATTGACAGAGATGGACCATTTCAATCTACGACTAACGTAATGATTTCAATTTTTTAATTGTCATTTCTTTCGCCATTCCCCTTAGCAACGTCCCGTCTCTTAGTAACATAATTTCTACATCATTTGTATACATATCTCAATTAATACGTTACGTTCGTGCATGTTTACACTATATCAATTTCATTAACAGGAGTGTGCTCTTGACACACAAACTACTCCAACAGAGTAATTAGGAAAAACGACTATAATCGACACAACATGAGTTCAACAGTAGATACACGGATGATACATGCAAAACAGGAGATATTTATCATGTCGACGCACATGTTTGAGTTCATGCGATTTCCCTCAGTTTGTTTTAATAGTTTTTTAACTTTTTTTGAATGTTTTAAATAGTTTGAAGGGATGTCAATCTCCAATTATTTTGACAAATTAACATAAAGATAAAAATATGTTAGCAGTTAAGTTAAAATAATGAGGTTGTTGTATAAAAGGTTGTAGGGCGTTTTTTTTAAAACAGTTTAAACACTGTAGGAGTTCAGGATTTGAATTGAAGTGTATCGGAAGAAAAAAAAATGGCATCTTATTCTCATTAAAACACTTGCATATCTGTTTTTTTTTAATACCAAAAGCTAATCTTTTATAGTACTTAATTTATTACTTAGCTTGATACACTTGTTGGAATGTACCAAAAAGCCTCCCCTTGCCACAAAAAAAAAAAAAACAAAAACAAAAAAAACAAACCAACACATACGCATTAATAAAACAACTTATCTTAAAAGTTTATCAGACAAAACAGAATAACATGTTAACATTGTTATTATTTATATTTTTAACTCACATGTACTTGAAAAGTGATTTATAATTGTATAATTTGTTCCAAACCATTGTTCCAAATGGTGAAGTTGAAATCATTCCCTCGTAAATTTTACGGACGCCATCACGAGTTGGTTGACCGTTATGGAATAACCGTTTCACAGATGATATTTGATATGTTCCTTATGTCGTAACTACAATACCCTTCCCTTTTCACGAATGTGACCTACCGAATTAGACTATTTACCGGATTTGTAATAACATAAGCAACACGACGGGTGCCACATGTGGAGCAGGATCTGCTTACCCTTCCGGAGCTCCTGAGATCACCCCTTGTTTTTGGTGGGGTTCATGTTGCTTAGTCTTTAGTTTTCTATGTTGTGTCATTTGTACTATTATTTGTCTGTTTGTCTTTTTAGTTTTGGCCATGGTGTTGTCAGTTTGTTTCCGATCTATGAGTTTGACTGTCCCTCCTTTGTTGTTATTTATCCAATGTTTTATCGGTGCTTTTTGAAAAAATTGCGTTGTTATTTTCTATAATTATTGTTTCAATTGTAAATAGATGTTATGATATTTTGCACCAAAGGTTTCTATTTTTGTCGATTAAATTCATTTTCTCTTATGTTATTGTTCCATTGGTACCAAGAAGTGACATTTAAAGAGAATGCTTATTTTTTGTTAGGTCATTTATATATGTAAGACTAAACTATCAATTGTAAAGCTGGATTATTAAACCGGATTAACTGGAATGAACAAATTGCCTTTGTACCTTTGTATCTTTGATGAGTTTTCGTAAAGTAAGTCGCAATCACACACACAGATCAAGATATCTCGCAAATATTCAACATAGAAAAAAAACTGTTTTATTCCATATTTATAATTTTCGCCGGGATATATTTTGGCGACTTGTTTTGATTACTCGAGTACACAGGCTATAGTAGATATTGCTAGAACATAACTGAGCTTTAAAAAGTGCAAATAACGGAGAGACAAGAAACACTGTCATAAGAAAACATAAGCTACATGCACATTGCAATTTTGGTAAACCGAAACTCTCTAATACATTACAGGCTTCAGCATCATTCATTCGAAGTAGTATGAACAAGAAAAATGAAAAATCCCTGAAATATAGATCATTTTGGATATTAACTCTATATTCATATGTTCTAATTTTATACCTCAGACTTGAACATTCTCCAGTCTAAGTACACTTTAAAACAAAAAATCCTAAATTTATAGTCAACTCTGTGTATCAACTCTTTGCCTAGATTTTTCATATATATATATATAAAAATAAGAAAATGTGGTATGATTGCCAGTGAGCAAATGACACAGAAGATAACAACTAGAGGCCACAGTATGGCCTTCAACAATGTGCAAAACACATACAACATAATCAATTATAAGAGGCCCCGAAATGACAAATGCAAAAAAAAAAAAATCAAACGAGAAACATAACGGCCTTATTTATGTACAAAACAATGAACGAAAAACAAATATGATATACAGCAACAAACGACAAGCACTGAATTACAGGCTCTTGACTTGGGACAGACACATACAGAATGTTGCGGGGTTAAACTAGTTTGCTGACACCAAACACTCCCCCAAGCCTGGGACAGTGGTGTAACAGTACAACATAAGAACAAACTATACAAATCAGTTGAAAAGGACTTAACTCAACAGATCGGTACAAAGCAGAAACACATCTAACAAAAACACAGACCGGACCTGGCAGGGTATTTATACATCTCCATATCAAACAACACACTAAGTACAGATCTAAGATTACTTGCAGTTACTGACAGCTAGTTCAATAACAACTAAAAAGAATATCATCTAAGACTGAAATATTTCCTAATTTGTTCCTACTTATATCTCAGGCTTCAACATCATCCATTCTAAGCAAATTAAAAACGAAAAATCCTGGGAATCGAGTAAATGCACCACGTTCAATCCTCTCGGTCCTGTGTTTTTTTCTTTTCACTTCCCATCTTGCACTGTTCACATTTTTTTTAACTGCAGAAACTAGGTTGTCGTAGTTTTTCCAAACTTTCGTTATTCTTGAAAAAATTCTCAATTTCTGTGACTTCTTTTTTTATCTTCATGGTTTTGATAAGGTATATAGATGCTATAAAGGAATGTACCATTAAACACTGCCTGTGGGCTTAATAAAGAAAGTGAACATCCTAAGAGCTGATTCAAATAAGTTCCCAAAGCGAAAGACGATTGAAACTGCGAAAACCCATGCACAATACTATTTGCAAAATAACTAGAATACTTCGAGATCTATTTTTTAGATTTTGTTAATAGAGTTGAAAAGTCGTGAACACATAACTCGTGCATGTTCAATAAAACCTTGTCAACCGAGTTTCTGGAATTATATGTTTTTGTTTGTAAAATGTTCCGTGCGGTGAGAACAAAGTGACACAAAATCAAACTCTTTACGTAAATTGAATCAACTTGCGGCTTGGCATGCTTCACCTAGTAGGTTAAGAAGGGAACAAATAATTTTGTATTTCCACAAAAGTTCTCTAACGCCTTTTTATGTTCAAATCGGAAGACTGAACACCATCCCTTAGGTTTTCTGTATATAAAGGCATTTGCACTCCGTCAGTCAATGTAGATGTAAATTAAAGGGCACAAGTGATCCGCCATAACGGTCATACTCAATTATGTTGATTTCAGTAGCTCCTAAAAACATTGCATATATTGCTTTTCGTAATCGAAGAGTAAATCTGCGTATTGATCTTTTTCTATAAGTGTCTTCAACTTCACACAGACGAAACACTTCGTTCAATTTTAGTATGTTCTGAGCGCACACAGGTAGTTTACCTGTTCGGAGATTCTCATAAAATCGGTCTGTTGTAATCCTATTCTGATTCGTGAAAAATTGAAAAAGATCAAAGCCTTCGAAAACCTTTGTATCTAAATACATTGTAAGTGACATCTTAACACATTGCTGTAATGTATCCGGAAGACTCTCTTGCAGTCTTGAAGTAGCGTAGTCAAGTGAAGCATTTATTGGCCACCGAATTGCTTTCCTCTGTACGACAGTTAGATCAAATTTACTCGAATCATCAGGTAAAGGTGAGTAAAATTATATAAATATTCCCTTTTGATGTAATCACTTCCTAACGTTACAGATAATATTGGTAACTTTTGTATTTGCAAGCCATGAAAAACCTTTTTCAGGTTTCTTGCAAAATAGACTTTTCCTTTGGAGCATGTTTCTGAGACAATCAATGTCGTTAAGGGTATATATATCCTTTTCGTAAATCGTACACAAAGAAATCACTGTCATTTGATAAAACTGGACATTGGAACGCATTTGCGAGCGTAGCAATATCGTGATCGGCTTCAAACTGGCTGACAACAAAAGGTATTTTCATTTTCTCGATCACCACAAGGAATGTTAAACTGCAGAGCATAGAAGCAAAGGTAGCCCTCAAGCCAGTTATTTCTCTAGATTTGCCAATTATTTCTTCCGCTCGACGTACATATGTGTCATGTTTTCTTCTGTCTGGTTCGTATCCACCATATGGTTGGATATCAGTCCATTGGTGAATGCTTCAATTTTGTCTTCATAAACATCATAATCTCCACCATGTTTGAGGTTGATATTCCGGTTTTCATATAAGAAATAAATCAAACTATCACCATCGATAACCAGTTTTGTCTTTGAAATATCCTTGCCTTTAAGCAAAATCGTCATGTTTTATTAACACCTGTTGTTAATCCTTGAACACCCATCCTAAAAGGTATAATAATATACTAGCATACATAACTAAATACTTAAATCAATGCAATCAGTTAATCGATACCTTTCTATTATTTCTATTATTTATATTAATTGATATGGCGTACTAGTTTTAAAAACAATAATGTCACCTACACCTTTTATAATGATAATTACTAATTCCAGAATACAAACACACTATGCATTGCACAATAATGCATATTATGTACAAACTTTATTTCATTGAAACAAACCATGTCAGAAGACAATCGTCTTATTCATATCCTAATTTGTTTTTCTGATTTTGGAGAATTTTGTGTTACCGGCAGATCTTTGATTTTTTTTTCTTTTTAATCTATTCACAGCTTTTTTATTTTCTTGACGATTTGCTTGGTTTATTATGGAGACCTTGGCTGTTTTTGTGTTTGCCTTCTTCTAGATGTCTTATGATTATTTTGTCTTTAGGTTCCTGTCTCATTTGCTTTTAAAATTTAAATGCAAATTAAAAATGACATGCCATAAATTATAATACTATATTTTGCAAAGTTTAAAACCTATATTTTTGTAAACATCAATAGATTTGTCAACTTCCGCTGATTTAATTCATGTTTTGGTGCTGTAAAGATCTCAAGATTCGCGAAAAGCGTAGAAAAATGGCAGTTTCCTAACGTTTGTCTGCATATTAAAGTATGAGCGTACCTACGATCATATTCATATCTGACATTCCTTGAATATGATTATTGATGCAGTTCAAATATCCTAGTGGGCTGTAGGTATGCTCATAGTTTAAAATTTGAAAAAGGTAAAACAAAAATCGTTGTAGTTTTCTTTGAATCATTGAAATATTTAAACGAACTGCGGACTGGAGATGATTTCTGATGAGCACATATTCACTGGATCCGACGACAGACTTTTCTTCCTACTATAATGGCTAGTTTTTTTAATGACTTAACTTTTACATCTATGAAAAAGGAACACAGGATAATCCTGTAGTTATGATTGCATGAATTTAAGGTGAGATTTGAGCAGATCGTCGAGTTCTGACACAAAATCAAAAAGGAACTGTGACAAACTTCAGAGAAATTTTCGGAATATTCAAAAATGAAACCAAAGTTATAAAATAATTGGTTCATACTCAAACTGTTCTTATCTGACTAAATTTCAATATTTAGAACACTGTGACACAGATGTTAATCGTGGATTGGCATGTCGAAGCATAAATAGAATATTAAAGGAAAAAACTCATCATAGTCAAAGATATCATGATTGTTATGTTGTATGCCAGACGCGTGTTTTGTCTACAAAAAACTCATCAATGACGGTCAATTAAAAAAAGCCTAAAGACCATAAAAGAAACAAACTTCCGAAACGTTTTGCAAAATACAGCTAAGATTATCTATTCCTGAATAGAAAATCCGTTGTTTTTCAAACAGTTAATCCATAAAAATGACCATATCAATGATGATTCATGCCAGTACAGAAGTGCTGACTAGTGGACATCGTGTTACTGCATGGGTTGTTTGTGTCATGATTTTTAATGTGCTAGCTCACAAGGTTACAGTCCGTGGGAAGACATATCACCCTACCTGGAAACTATATATATTCTGACTTCGAGCCAACTAGTCTTTGCGCTTAACCCTTAATACCAAGTGATTAGCGGAGAATCAGCAAATACCAATTTTAAAGTCAATGGTTTGGCCCGGCCGGGTCCAGAACCCTCGATATCCGGCACTCGAGGCAAACACGCTACACTAGGCGGTGTTTGTATCACGAGTTTTACGCTAGAAAGAAAAAATGATTAACCAAGCGAAATTGTGCACCAAAATGTGCATGGTGTTTTAAAAGATGAATATTTAATATTCGCAAATTAAGTACAACAAACACATGTGATTATAAGTTTTTTAATATTTAAACCCTTGAAAATAATACTATACATTTCATTATTTTTATTCTTTAAGGATGTATCCCTCTGACGTTTCAGTCTTGTTGAAATGTCGTTCTGGAATTATTTCCAAAACATGTGATACAAGTGGAAAATATAAATGAATTTAAAAAATATTATAATCAAACTTAACTCTGTAAAAAAATTGTGTTCTTACAATAAGTAGTTTTTGAGTAATAAGATTTTCAAATTTTATAACCAAATAAGTCAGTCTCATTATCCAAAATGTTGAGAAAATGGGTGAGGGGTACAATAAATGATTTTACCAGAAACATGTACATCCCATATCAATTTTTTCTTTTCAAATTTCTTAGATATGCATTTTGTCAATCATTTATAACAAAAAAGTTGAAATAATATGCTTTTTGTTCTAAAAAAAGAGAAAAATCCAAAATTTACAAAATTGACAGCATGGTAAATTTTACATGAAAAAGCAACAAAATTTTATAAAACTTTCTTATATTAACACCTACCTTTAGTTTTCTTACGTTAAATTTATTCCGATTGGTCCACCTCATCTTTAGTGAAAGTATGAAAAAAAGTTTAATTGTGAAACTGGGATTTTTTTCATGATAATAGCCCAAAAATGGGTAAAAACTGATGAAAAATCGGAAAATCATCAAAATTTGGTTCTTCCAAATGGCTAGCAAGAAAAGAAGTGCACCACCATATGATTTTTTCTTCACCAATTATTTGTTTACAGTCATATAAATCCAAAAAATCAGGTTAAGAAAAAAGTTTAATTCTAGAAATTTTTGGCTCCTCAGAGGTGTACATCCTTAATTAAGTTAGATGTATGTTTATGCGCATTTAATTGGTAGTCTTCTTTAGAATTAAATACTTCTTTTTGTAATTGGGTTTTAAAGCGATGACCGAAGCACATTTTGTATGATGCGCAGAGGTAACAAAAGAAACATTCAGAGGATTATTAAATCTTTATGCTACAACCATAAAATTATGAATTTTATCAAATATTTTGTTGGTACTGGCTACGATTACGTTGAAATGAACCGATAAAAAAAATATTGTTACATTGGATACTAATTGCCCAAATGCTAGGTTGGGTTAGAAACCGATTATTTACGAACGTAACAATATTTATGTCTACGGTTACGTTCTGTTAATGTTAAGTTAATGCACTCCAATGTATGCTTGGACTAGTAATATGTATTAAAATACAACTTGAAAGCTTTTATTCTTAAACACTACAATGCTACAATAGTGCATTCACATTTTTTATTTACAACGGCAGCTTTTACACATCCAATATGTGCTTTTGTGAGCATGTTTTAGTTCGAAGCATTTTTGGTGAAACCACTCTAGGCAGCCATCACAAACGTGTGATGCAGCGATGTGCGCGTCGGTTTGGCAGACTAAACAGCTCCACTCTGCAATATCCCTTTTGAAGTTATAGCAACTTTCAATGTCTGCCATGTTTAAGGTGAAAATTATTTTTTTTCATTTGTGACCAGGTGGAATAAGGCATAGATGAATTGAATGCAGAACGTTCAAATACTTTATTATGTACTATAAAGAAGGCAACGACAGATCCGAAATATACAGATAATGACAAATAAATATAACTTTACAAATAAATGCATATGAATATATCATTTTGTAGCAAATAATGTATATTATGTTTGATTACACTATTGCAAATAAATAATAATGCAAAACTAGTGAAATGACAACTCTGAATGTAAACAATTTGTTAATTAATGCTAATGAAAACTGTTCACTAAAGTAAGTTGACCATACGTCTCAATAAAATACTATACAACATTGAAAGTTTATTACAGGTAAAAAAGAAAATATAAAGTTTGAAATACAATTAGCAAAGTAAATGAAACTAAATAAAATATTTAAGACAAAACCTTTTAACCATAGATTAATTTGAAAAACCCTTAAACTATAAATGCCTTATAATGCTGGCTACGGCTCATAGTGTTGTTTCTGGTGTTACTTATTCTGCATTGACAATATAGTTAAAAATTACAGTATATATAGTCAAAAGGTGAACTGTCAAACTGGCCAGAACCAGATAAAACAACTATTAAGAAAAGTAATTTGTCCAATAGCCAGTGGTGAGTAAATATCAAAGATCCTAGATAGAGTATTTGGATTCATTGAACCATATAATACAAATATATGTTCAATATAGTAAGATCATTATAATATAGAGTAAATAGATATAAACGAAGTACAAAGTTGGGAATAATATCAAATAGATAATTTGTATATAAATGAACGGGTCCACATTCTCCCCAGCTAAGTATTAATCGTCTCGATAATGCAAATATTTATATCCACATACTCCCTTTACTATCATAATAATAACACAAAAATAAGACACAAACACATTTCAACATATATCACAATATCTCTCAATATCACATATATTCCAAATACAGAAAACAGTTACTTCATCGGTCCTAATTGGTACACGGTTTCGGCACTGTTATACATCTTCGTTAGTGTTCGCCTTTCAATCTCCGAAAATGTTCGGTTAAGTCCGTATATATTCCAATAACACAAATAATCTCCGTCACTGGTCGGCTCCTTTCCGTGGATTTCCGATCTGGTAGAAACTCCGTCAAAGTTCGGTCAACTCCGTGGATAGCCCGATGACACACACACACATCAACTTCGTAAATGTTCGGCTTCCTCCGTAGATACCCCGCTCAGCCGTCTGATGGAATGTCAGCAATCATTGCCTTCTGGTTTGTCGACGACGCCATATGTGACCAGGTGGAATAAGGCATAGATGAATTGAATGCAGAACGTTCAAATACTTTATTATGTACTATAAAGAAGGCAACGACAGATCTGAAATATACAGATAATGACAAATAAATATAACTTTACAAATAAATGCATATGAATATATCATTTTGTAGCAAATAATGTATATTATGTTTGATTACACTATTGCAAATAAATAATAATGCAAAACTAGTGAAATGACAACTCTGAATGTAAACAATTTGTTAATTAATGCTAATGAAAACTGTTCACTAAAGTAAGTTGACCATACGTCTCAATAAAATACTATACAACATTGAAAGTTTATTACAGGTAAAAAAGAAAATATAAAGTTTGAAATACAATTAGCAAAGTAAATGAAACTAAATAAAATATTTAAGACAAAAACTTTTAACCATAGATTAATTTGAAAAACCCTTAAACTATAAATACCTTATAATGCTGGCTACGGCTCATAGTGTTGTTTCTGGTGTTACTTATTCTGCATTGACAATATAGTTAAAAATTACAGTATATATAGTCAAAAGGTGAACTGTCAAACTGGCCAGAACCAGATAAAACAACTATTAAGAAAAGTAATTTGTCCAATAGCCAGTGGTGAGTAAATATCAAAGATCCTAGATAGAGTATTTGGATTCATTGAACCATATAATACAAATATATGTTCAATATAGTAAGATCATTATAATATAGAGTAAATAGATATAAACGAAGTACAAAGTTGGGAATAATATCAAATAGATAATTTGTATATAAATGAACTTGTCCACACATTCTTGAAATGTTTATATCTTCGTCCAAAATTTTTGTTGGACACATGAGAGGTTGGTATGGACGTGATCCATCTGATTTTGAAACGAAATTACGTCCCCCATGGATGCAGGCATACAGAAGGTCACAGTATTTTAATTTACTGCTGTCAAACTTTGCTTTTAATGTATCAATTTTTAACAAACTGCGTTTGTACAACTGTATAAAATTTGTTTCTTGATATTGTTTTAGTTTTGATTCAAACGCATTCAAAGTTTTAAATTTTTCACTCAAAATAATTTCACTTCATCCGTTGTTCAAAGTATAATGACAGTAATAAGGGTAGGTGTGCAGTTAAATACATAGAAGTGAATTTTTACTTCTACACATCGAACCATTGCACTATTTTTTCGACTTGGGCACTACTTAACAGTAGTATTATCTTGAAAAACATTAAAACAATTAATACTTAAAAACTTTTTCATTATTGTTACATTTCAACGTAATCGTAGCCAGTGCCTATTTTGTTTGTTTTTCTATTTAGATATAAGAAGATGTGGTATGAGTGCCAATGAGACAACTCTCCATTTAAGTCACAATTTTTAAAAGTAATCCATTATAGGTCAAGTACGGCCTTCAACACGTAGCCTAGGCTCACACCGAACAGCAAACTATGAAGGGCCCCAAAAATGACTAGTCTAAAACCATTCAAACAGGACAATCATCGGTCTAATATATATAAAAAATTCATTCTTGTGATGTTGTCAAGGGAAGTACGTGCTGTCATAAATGTTGCATTTCTTTTGGAAATAACATCTTATTTTGGAACGCCTTTTGACTGTTGTCATCCAATCAAAATTATGGCTTCTTATGAGATATACAGGTGATGTAATTATTGATAAAAGTTGAGATAACCAAATGTCATCCTATTACAACTCTTAAAATTTGATAAAACATTAAATGTGCAGTCAGTTTTGTATAGTTTTAATTAATTTATTATATTTATTTAATTGTTCAATGACTTAAATGAAGGGTGCAAATAATAAGAATAATTCTTATTACATAAATCCTTGCTTAAACATACGCATCCACCCAAACAATTGACTTCTGCAATCATATACTCTTATCAGTAACTTGCATATCTTTAAAAACTGTTCAGACCCACCCCTAATTCATAAATCCTTTATATTCTTGCTTTCATGGAAAAACCTTCACATTGAAACATATGTTTTGTAGTTGTCTTTAATTTTGGAAAAAAAATGTTTGCTGTTGCTAAGTAACATGTGTGTTTCTATGCTCGATATGTAATTCGTCAAAAAAGATAATTGATAATCTAGATGTTTATATTATAGTGTAACACCATATAAGAAAGTATATTCTTCAAAAGTTTCTAAATTCATTCTTTAGATGATATAATGAACCCATTATTGAACGGTTGCTATGCACTTCGTATGTACCTAAGTCGTTGATAAGCATTAAGTGAACTAGAATTGAACTGACTTCATTTCTAACTAATAGTTGTTCATAAACAGACAACCTGCATTACATTTAATTTTATTTGTACAATAAAATGACAAACTGATTTGTAGTTGTCTTTATTTCAAATATTTTGTTTTGCTGTTGCAAGGAATAATGATGACTAAGATAGTATATTGGAATGCAACACCATGTGGAAAAGAAAAATCTTCAAACAACTGCTAAATTCATATTTCAGAGGGGAAAAACACCCATTTTTGAAACGTTGCTAGGCAATATTTCTGTTGCTATGTTGTTTTTAAGCATATTGTAAACTAAATCAAAGGGATTATACATTTGTGACTTCAAGGTCCTCTTAAACAAACAATATTATTTGGAATTGTTCAAATTTGTACTGATACAGCAGTTTATATGTGATGATTTTGATTTTTATTAAAAACCGTTGCTGGGCAACCTTCCTTTCACCGGAACACAATAAAATATTGTTTTTTTCAAGTTTCTATACAAAGACCATAAATGATATTAATATGAACTTATTTGGAGAAGGGACCAAAAACGCCCCTTATCGTACCTTGTCCTTTAAGGTAAGATTGCATGATACCTGGATTTTTTTCTAAGTGATATTATACCAATATGATATATCATTTTGTTCAGGGAGGAGTACCTGATCATTTAATGAAAAAAAAATCGAATATCGCCCGTCCTGTTTTTTTTGTTGAGAAAAGCTCAAAATTTCGATTTTTGACTATTAAATAATGTATGCAAATGACAATAAGAAAATAAAACTGAATAAAACATGTATAAACAATTGGGGTTCATTCATTAATAATAAATTTCAAATCAAAAGTTCATAAAAAAGTACTAAAAACAAAAACAAAAATTTATGGGTTAAAATAAAACCGTTGCCATGGCAACAAAAATCCAAAATATTATCCTGTTTCCGGGTTCACCGTTTTTGTAAAAACTTAGAACTTAAGGATTTAAGTATTTTCAGTATAATGAGCTAATAAAATTGATATGTCCCCGAACTCGTTTTCACGGAAATGGGCGTTATATCTTCATCATGTCATCTCTGTAAAACGCAAAAATACTTTTTTTGTGGATCTGCAAAGAATATTTCACATTCAAAGTCATCTTTGATAGCATCTTTTTTCAAAGAATCATTTTGTCTTGTAACACTTTGGGATTGATCATAACCAATTAGAGGAAATATTAATTAACTTACCTTTTATGCCCACATCTATCTGCCGGTAGGGAAGGCATTTAACTTTGGTCATACTTTGTATTACATGTACAAGTATCTGATTTTGAAGGAAACACTTATTTTCTTTCAGTGCTTCAAACTGTAATATTTTGAATCTTAGAATAACATTCTGATTGCCATTGAGAGTAATGAGTATTTCTTTATTGCCCCATGTTTGGTAAATTGTTTGTATGCAGCAAATGGAAGAAAAGACATAAGTTTTGACTATTAAAGTCATGTACAGCAGCCGTGTTTATTCCATTCATTTCAATCTGGACACCAACAAATATTATACAAATATTTATGACTAAGCAGGAAAAAGCCCTGCAATGAGAAAGATAGATTACTGGTATGATTTTTTCAATTGTTACACGATGTTCAAATTTTGAGTCTTTGACGAAATAAACAAACTGCATGCTCCTATACATGAGGATAGACGAAACAGAAGATGGCCAGGGTAAACAAAGGACCAGCTGTATATGTATTGTTCATATTTAAAATAAGTAATATTGTTATGTAGACCTGTAATATGAAAATCTTTCACATACTTTAATAAATTAAAATCAGTTTAATGAAATTCACTTCTTGATATCTGTTTTGTATATCCCATTATGTGATCTGTGGTGTTTTTGTGTGATTTGCATGTATCTGTTTTTTTTTACATTTCTTCCATGATAACCAATTTTATTTGCTAATTGAAAATTAAGCTGAATAAAATAATTTAAGACAGCAGAAAGATAATTCTGTTTTAATTGTTTATTACTAAGACTTAAATAAAGAGTGAGCTATTTATACTGTAAATTTATGATGTCTCTAGTCTGGTCAAAGGGTCAGAGTGTCCTACTTAATCAAACGATAAATTGTTGAAATTAGATAACATGTTTTCACGTGCAGAGAAATTTCACTTATGACCAGTGTATGATTGGATTACATCTTTCTTATTGGTCACTGATCTTTCGGGGTCAGCACGAGTTCACGTGTAAGTGCGTTGTGGTCACTTCCTTTTATCTTTAGCATTTGATGTGTTAACTTGTGATTCTTATCAAACAATTTGTTAAAAATTTTAATTTTATGGATAATTTTGGACTGGAGTGATTTCCTTTTAGCAATTTGAGGTAAAATCGAACTTTACTTTTATTTTTTTTAGCTATTTTATGTTTACATTCTGAACAAACGTACAGTTAATTTTTTACCATTCTTCCATTCGGATAGATCTCACGATTTTGATTTATTAATTAATTTTGGTGTTAGTGGCGACACTGTGCGTTTGCGATCAAAATGTATTTATTTACCATACTTATAAAAAAGATAGCTGATGATTAACCCGATGTTGTAATTTTACAAGTTACTGAATCCTTGATAGCATCCTTATGTTTGCAGAACGTATATCCGCCTTGTGTATCTGTAGGAGACATGGTTCATTTAAATTTAACTACAAATACAAAAATTTTTGCATAACGATAATAATACCTTACTTGTTTGGGTAAGGTGGACGATATTTCAAATTGTGCAGAGAGCTTGGTTGCTTGTACTTATGACCTCTGTGTATTTCCTTTTGCAATTATGTTTTATTTAGTGTTCATTGTTTTATGCTATGTCACGAAACTCATGCTACTTTCGTAAATCTCGTCACGGTGGTTTGTTTGGAGCTTATAAATTTGCAAGTTAGCCTAATCGCTATAATTGTTAGTATTTTAATTTATGCAGGTGTACCTTGTTTGCTTAATGTTAACGGTATAAAAAGGATATGTCTCTTACCTATATCGCAACCCAATGCTTATTTATTACGAACCAATTTACCTGTCTTGGCCTGTTTGGGTAATGTGGACGATATTTTAATTTTTGCAGAGGGCGAGGTTGCTTGTACTTATGCCCTCTGTGTATTGTTTTTGCAGAGGTCTAGTAGCTTGGTCTATGACCTCTGTGTATTTACTTTTGCAAATATGTTATTATGTAGTAGGTATTGTTTTATGCTTCGTCATGAAACTCATGCTACTTTTGCAGAGGTCGTAGTAGCTTGGTCTATGACCTCTGTGTATTTGCTTTTGTAAATATGTTAGTATGTAGTGGGTATTGTTTTATGCTTCGTCATGAAACTCATGCTACTTTTTTGCAGAGGTCATAGTAGCTTGGTCTATGATCTCTGTATTGTTTTATGCTTCGTCATGAAACTCATGCTATTTTTTTTTGCAGAGGTCGTAGTAGCTTGGTCTATGATCTCTGTATTGCTTTATGCTTCGTCATGAAACTCATGCTACTTTTAATTATTATTTCGTCATGGTGATTGGTTTGGAAT